ATGTTTTGCCAGGACTAAAACACAATCTGCTTTTCTCAACTATCAGAGGCCAGAGCTGAGGTTTGCAATCATGGTGAAGCTAACAATAACTAGCATGCAAACCGGGCATGCTTTATAATTTCATGAAGATTGCACACAGGAGACTTATTTTGACCTCAAGAGCTATCTATATACTGGGACAAGACAAATTTTGCTCAGATTCATGAAAAAAATCAACTACAGCCCTTTAAAGCACAACTCTGTAATAGTTTAATGCTACAAATTCTCATTTAGCTTTGATCATGAATAAATGAAATCCACCATTTAGGCCAGTGTTAGTGTGACCGCTGTAATCTTCAACACAGAAGCACAATCGAGCAGATTTCTCTGCTTCAGTAAAACCTCCTTCAAAATGAAATCTTAAATTGCTCCCCTGCTTTTGAGGCTTTGTGATTTCCCGGCCCTTTCTGATGAGTTATTGACAGTGCTGCTTTTCATCATAATAAAATATCTTGTACTGGTCTACACTAAGGATAAACATTAGCATCATGCTCAACTAGCTTCAGTTCTATGTACAGTATAAAATTTATATCAAGCATTTTATGTAACAAAGGCTAATTTCATTGGCCCTCGCCAGTAACGAAGTTAATGGGGTGTGTGCAAAAAGATTAAAGTCCCCGGGGTTTGGTCCAAATGAGCTCAGATTTGACATGTCACATCTACAGACATAAGTATAATATTTATCAGCAGGTTTTGAGATATTCCTTACAGTTTGCCTGTAGCACGCCGGCGAAAAACACCTTAATTTCCTGTTTATTTGGTGGCCTGTCACGGCCACAGGCATTAGCCTAGAGAGCTCAAATTCAAATCACAATTGTGTGATCCAGGCCTGAATGTAATGAAATATGAAATCTAATAAAAGTGAACACTATAGCGCCACCTAGCATAGACATGAAATGTCAACATTATCAGATCTGTACCAAATTTGGGGATTCAATTTTATGCTTAATTACAAGCAAAAAAAGTCTATTAAGGACATGGGGTATTTTCCACTATTGGTCAGCGGGGGGCGCAAAGACTTCCCTGAAAAATAGTTTAAAAATGATTACATACACAGGCTTAGTCTGATTGTGCTGAAATTTGAATCACTAATGCATGATTTTGCTCTGATTATAATACAATATAAAGTATATGAAAAGTGTACACTATAGCGCCCCCTACCATAGACATTAATGTCAACATTATCAGACTTCTACCAAATTCAGGGATTAAATTCTATGCATGATTGTGAGCAAAAAGTAGATTACGGATATTGAGACTCCTCGGAAACATTTAATGGTGCATTATGTAATTTTTGTAGTGGACGAACTGTCGTTCCGGGCGGCTGTCAGGAAGAGAGAGTGGGGAGGCAGGGCGGTTGTAAGTCCCCAGTGGTTGCGTTGGAGGGGCATGCGCACCGGAGCGAGGGCTGTCATCGCCGCGAGCAGCTTTAATTTAAGTTAGTTTTTTTTTTTTTCCAATTAGGAGAGACTCAAATATACATTGAGTAATAATGTTTAATGGAGCTTTGTGCACATTTGTTTATGTTTAACAGAAACAAAACTTAAAGCCACATAGCTAATTTGCATAAACTATAAGCACTGAAAAAACAGCTCGCTCCTTGTGTGCTGACGCGGTTCAGCTTCTGTCAGACTAACTCTGTAAGGCTCCTGACTACCGTTGCCGTAATGCTCCGACAATCCATCAAGCGGTGAGAAGCTTACCAAAATCATACTAAAATATTTCAGATCGAAGTCAGTAAGCAGAACCAGGATTAATAAGACACACCATCAATTTTTGAAAAAATTTAAGGATTTTCAGTGCACCTTATTGTCCGAAAAATATGGTATAAAGAGTTAAGGGCTGGAGAGTATTGGCAAAAAATACAATTCTCTCAAACCATGAGCTAAAACATCTATTTTTGGAGATTCACGATTGTTTATTTTTGTTCTATTTTAAAATTTAAAATTTCCTTTTTTTTTTTTTTTTTTTTTTTTTTTTTTTTTTTACAGTTTTCCTATTGAGCAAATAATATGGGAGAAATAAACATGTTTCACGTAATAATAACAACAACCTAAACGTTGTTGAGGGTTCAAGACCTGTTTAATATGATATACTGAATGTCTCTCACAGCTCTCTAACTGAACTGTAAAAAAAAACTCCCTATAGCAGAACATAAATATAAGAATACACAAAACAGAAATAATTGTAGCTACAAAATTGAGCAAGAAAGTTACTGGCATATTATAGAACAATAGAAATTCCAGAAACTGTGAATGTTGGTTATCCTGCTTGCAGTGACTGTTACATTGTTTGATTTTCTAACTTTTAATGGTTTAAACAACAATTTTGTGAAACCCTGTGAGCCGCTGCTGTTACAACTTCGGGCTCTACAAAGTGAATTGATTTGGACACTGTACCTTTAACTACTGACCACAACAACCACCGCTACTGTACACAGGAAAGTGAAACTGAACCTTGTGTCTTGTTCAGATTTCTTGGTGGCCCTAAGTGACCCTATAGGCAATGATGGATGGTGTGACATACCAGATCCAGCAGTGATAGAGAAAAAATAAACACTTAATGAACATCCTCCACTCCTTCCATTACAAACGTGCGGCAAAAATCAATCATCAATCACCCCTGCCCTGTGTTTTAATTATCCGAGGCCCCTGCGAGCACTTCACACAACACATTCTATTTTTTTTTCAAGGACTAAATATGGCTTCATTCTCCAGGCCACTCAACTGGTTAAACACATAATCCTGGTACACTTGTGGGCTAATCCGCAGAGGCAATCAGATGTACTTGTGACAAGCCTCTGCTCTCCATCAGCACTCAGCCATCATGGACACAACACGGCCATGCCAATAAATTATACTGTTCAGAATAGGGGTGGGAATAGGGCTCAAAAATTCTATCTACATAAGTTAAATGACTTGTTTACTTGTTGTGAGAGCTTTCCTTGCATATTTGTTTAGTTAGAAGGTCAAGAAGATTTTGTGACTGATATCTATTTTGCATGATATAGGTCCAGGCAAACGTTACAGGCCCATTATACTAATTCAGGCTGTTTAATCTTTCATCTTTTTGATATATAGCGCATCACTTACGCTACTTCTACCACTTGGTAAATTACAAGGTCTAAAAAAAAATACAGGTGTGGGTTGTGTTGAAAAGTTGCGATTGGTGCCATGGCAATTGAACATGCAAAAGAAAATACTGATTTAAATATGTTTTAAAAGTCTTACAAATGGTGCCAATAAAGGACTGGCACATCTCTAAATAATACATAGTGATACAGCGTTTAATGAAGTTGTTTCATAGTTCTTATTACTTAAGTGTATATGAGTCTCACAATGTTTTTCACACTTTCAAACAACATGGCAGCCAAATACTGAATTAATTATGTTAAGCCTTGAACTTTTTAAAATTAAACTTAAACACGCAGGCTATAGATACTTTGCAGTGGCATCATGCTTGGGGTGTTCTACATGTATCTCCACTGATGGAATGTTCATCATTTACTTTGGAGACTCAATGCACATATTAGGAAACACAGGCAAAAAGTTTTTAAGATGGTCTGAAAACTCAAGAAAAAATTTAAAATGTATTTGAACAGCACATTCAGGAGCCTGTGATCAATACGAGCATTAATGGACCTGTTTAGAGGTTTGATTTTCAACAAAAATGAGAAAGTGACTAACCAAAACTGAAAAGCCAAACTAACCAAACTAACTAACCAAAACTAATGCTCGCTAGCTTGTGAATGTAATTTTAAGTGTGAGAGGCTTGTTTAACAGCACAAATCATCTTACCTGTTCTAGTTCCAATCAAGCCAGCCCTTTATGGTCAGATTGTGTTAAATTAAAACTCAGATTAAGGCTATGTCCACAACGCTCCTGGACTTTTTCTTTTACAGGCTGAAAAAAAAAATTTGTCCCTACATGTGTCGGATCAACCAATATTCACATCCAAACGACAACGGAGCACGCATTGAAAACGATGTAATACATGTGCCACACCTGTATGTGGCACTGTTAACAATGATAATAATATTTAATAATAATGCATATCTCATCACAGTTTTTTTATTACTTTAAGGTAATTTAGCCTATTTTAGATGTATCCCAGAAATATAGCCCTTTTGTTTTGTTCGTTTGTAGCCATAAGATTTGGATGAGAATTATTAGAATAACTTGGTCTCAAAATCCAACAGTTTAATTACTCGTGTGCAATCTTTGTTATTGATACGTGTGCGTATTCTGTTGTTAGCATTAGCGCTAGCAGCGTGTCTCAGTTGCTGGACAACAGGAGTGGCTCTGTTGGCTACACCTGTCCCATTTTGGCAATGCTCTTGCAGTCTGTGGAGGCTAGTTCAAGGGCGGCGGGTTCACAGCATATGGAGAACCCTGGCGATGACAAGGTTGCGACGTCATCGTTCCAAAAGCTGTGGTTTGCTTGTCCACATGACAACACAACGCCGGCATTCTTAGATTTCTCCACTCTGGAACCCGTTCTCAAAAAACTCAGTTTTCACCCACCCAAAACGTCAGCTCTGTGTGGACAAATGACCAAAACAAATACAAACTTCACCGTTTCAACCAAAAAATTTTGTCATGTGGACAGGCCCTAAGTCTAACTTGAGTAACAAAGCTTCTAACAGAGCAGTGCTTCCCATTAGCTTCACTCCCCTAAGGAATGTTGATGACATCAGCTGCAAAGTATAGTACAGTTACAAACAGCAAAATGTGACAAAAATCCAATAAACTCCAATAAAACTAAAACAAAAGTACAGGTCAGACAAAGCACTACATAGAGCTCCATTCTCCAGGCCACTTCACAAGCTAATTTTCCAACACTTGTGCGCTAATTCTCGACAGCATTCAGAACAAGCCCTTCTGACCAGCCCGTCCCCCTCCTCCCTCCACCTCTCCTCCACCTCTCCTCCACTTCTCATCCACCTCTCATCCCTCACTCACCCATCACGGCCAGAGCGCTGCCACGAGCTAACTCCCTCTTCATGGACTCGAGCACTTCAAGGCCGCCTCCGTCCAGATTGCACCTGTTGATAGTGCCGTTGGCCGAGCTGATCCAGTACAGCTTGTTGGCAGCAAAGTCAATGGACAGACCTGAGAGGAGCAGAGCAAAGGAGAGCAGATAGAGTGAGACACAGGACTCAATTTTAGTTTGGATTGATTTGGGCTGAGGGGTAAACATTGGACGCATTATCAACCATCAACTTGAAAAAAAAAAAAAAAGTTAAAGGTATTGACATATTGCTTAACTTTGTTTCTCCTCTGCACATCATCTCCACAAGTTTATTTTTATTTTTTATTTACTCATTTTAAACTGTTTGCACTGGTCCAAACACAATCCTCACTTTTTAAAAATACATTCCTTGCATCCTAATTATTCACTGGCAATAAGTTTATAGCTGCATTTCACATTTCAGAGGTCACACAGGAGTTCGGGCATCACACCGCTGCCGCAACAACTAGCATGCTAACAGTGCACCAGTGTAAATTCCTGGTTTGGAGACAATAAAAATGCAAAGTTTCATATTTTGTTGCATGTTTTGTCTCATTAATAAAGCTTGAATAAAAAGGATGCATTAGCAAATTAGTTGTGCTATTGTAGACGCCTTGAAAATGGTTTCAAATTGTCGTCATATAAATAAAAAAAAACTGTCAAGAGTGCATCAGTGAGTGTGATCTACAGGCGCTCTACATGGATGTGGCCAGTAAGATCATTAAAAACAGATAGGTGGACTTGTTAACGTTATCAAAACAATGTCCTTTATTACAGCATGGATAGATAGTCAGATAGTCATCATATTCATTTGTTCTTTCACGTTCATCTTTTGGATAATGAAGCTCTCTTACAAAAATATTTCCAAAATATTGTTCTCCATTCATGACAAGAATCAAAGCTGCCAAGATCAGTCAACAGAAAATATTAGGCAAAGAAAAAAAGCTGAAACTAAATTAAACTAAATGCTGACAAATGCCATCAACAGCATTAAGTGACTCCCTACACTTAAAGCTGACACGTAAAGCTCTCACAGTCTGAATATAAATGTAAACACATCTCTCGTCACTTTAATGCCTTATTGATGAAATGCATAAAAAAGCATCCAAACACTGTCATTTACCACTGTGTAACTGCTGACAACATATGTTTGCTTATTTATTTGTCTACATGTATATTTAAGAGCCACATCTTTAGAGAACTCCAGCTGGAACAGAACCGGAATAAATGTCCTATCCCATGCCATGCTGACAAGACCTGCTTTTCAAAGATGTTTTTCCTTCTATTTTTAGTCAGCGTAAAAAAGTATTTCCTTGTCTACAACGCTATCAGCAAAAACACAAGCCACAAAATAAATCTCTCAAATAAGAACTAAATAAGTCAGAACCAAATTGGGACAGAACAAGTGTAACCCAGTTCTAAACCAAACTAAGAGGACTAAGAGGGTACTCTGTATTGTTAAGGCTTCATAATTTAAAGGTGCAATTTTTCTTTGCTTCTCTCATCGGTATTTTATTGTTTTGCCCAGAATGCTCACCACTATGATATGAAAGTTATTAATTTTTTCATTGCTAAAATAAATGCTTGACCTGGTTGTCTCCATGGGAATAAATCAATTACATCTCCATGGAGACAAGAAGAAAATTTACACAGAACCTAAAGCCAAATTTGAACTTGAACTCGAACTTCAAATTTATTTATGTTTCCTTTGTCATCGATATGTTGATGTCTTAACTGTATATTTTGTCATTCATTGTGATTTTTATTCACTATTTTCACTTTGGTGAAAGTTTACCAATTGATGTTGATTAATGGGCAAAAAATAAAGAAAGAAAATGAATACCTGTTATTGATTATAGTTCAAAAATTTAGCAATAATGAATCACAAAGTCCAAACTATATTTTTAATGGTGGACTTTTGGATGGCCCATGATCTGTTCGCATGTGCAGGATTTATGCCTGGCAGATTCACAGTCGAAGCGCGTCGTTAATTTAGTCTTGTCCCCAGGTCTAACCCATAATCATAAATGAAGCTTTTGAATTATGGCCATGCTACGCTACGCTATCTGAATCGCTGACAGTGGGTCTAGGAAGAAAGGAAAGAAAGGAAAGGGGAGTACAATAATGGCTCTGTTTGTGTGAGTGTGACCTTGGGCATGTGTGAAAATGACAGCTGAAGCAAAATGTGCATTGGTTTCACTAAATCAGATGCAATGGCTCAATTAGGAGGGATTATTATTATGATGGGGATGTCAGTGTCACTGGCAATCACACAAATGTTCGTCATTTGAACACGCAGAATATGGTCAATGCATGTGCACGGAATAGGAAGTCAAATAAAACAGTATTAGAAAATTGATGTTTCCGAGTCTTTGAACTGTATTGTAAACTGAGGATTAATTATAGAAGTAGAAGTAGTAGTAGTAGTAGTAGTAGTAGTATGCTAAACTGTATTCATATTTGTCAGATGATAGTTCCATACAATAATCTTCTGTCTTTAAATGCTTTTTACTAACAACAGTTAAATAATACCATCACTATTAAAAGTAATTTCACCTCAGTTTATGTCTAATGACAGAGAGGAAATGGAACTTTAGGCCAATTTTTGTTTCATTTGTTTCCTTTAGATATTAAAAATCTAAATTCTATTGATGGGCATTCAATTAAATTTTCATAATTGATCATCAGGAAAATTAACAATCAATATTAAATTAATCTTTTTTTTTTTTATTAAAAATATAATCATTATTATTACTATTACTAATCTGCATAAATAAACTCAACTTTACAACATATAAACCATAACCACTATAGAGCCACATCAGCCCATTTGAAATTACAATGTGTTTAATCCAGCTTTGCCACATTTGTTTACGTTTTACAGAAAGAAACTTAAAACCATATGGCTCATTTGCATAAACAGTAAGCCTCTTTCCTTGAGCGCTGATGCGGTCATCTTTTGTTGGACTAAGGGACACAACTCAGTGGAATATGTGTGTTGTTTCTGTCACAGAGGGACCTTGATGGTGCTGATAGTGAGTCGGTTCATGTTTTGAAAAATCATATGTGTGCAAGTTTAGTGCAGCTCTTTATGTTGCTGTAACCGGGATACTGCGTATACATGCACCATGACGAAACCGGGATACTGATGGGACTGTGAGGCCGCTGTCAGACGCAGCCTCGTCTCCTTACAGCAATCTATATTCAGTGTGTCAATTTAAAATGAGCATAATGGACGAAATTCTTAATGATAAATTATTGATTAGTCAACTAATCATGCCCATCCCTACTGTGTAATCCCTAAATCACCCAATTAAGATCCATAGCAAAAGAAAAAATCAATTCTAACAAACAGACAGAAAGTGTAAACAAGGAGGTGTGTTAGTTTCAGTGTAATTAGCATCTCCCTTCAGGCAGGTATAGGGCAGTGTCCACAAGCAATCTGATCAGAACTGATGAAGCTGCTTGGATAAGCTCCAAAAAGTTTTCACTGAAATAAATTTGGTCCAGTTGACAGAATTATTTTTTTTTTACCTCCTAATCACACTAAGCCCTATTTTACATATTTTCTCCTATGAAGTTTATTTCTGTATCTGATAAAAGAGCTGTTAAGATACAGTGTCCCTTATATAGTGATTTCTAACAAATACCAAAAGCAATGAAAATGTATATTCACTCTCTTTCTTTGTCCCTCACAAATAGAGATTGCACTGAATGTTGTCTGACTCTGTTAGCTTCAAAAATAGCTTCTCAGAATATACCATCGCACACAATCGCAGCACATGCATATATGTGACCATGTCGTCCTTGTCTATTGTGTTGTGTGATAATCCAGCAGTGACAAAGGGAGAGATGATTGAGGGTTGGAGCGAGGCTGTGCAGTTGTCGAGTTGTTCAAATGTGCCAATCAAGTGTTGTGGAGTGGACGCAGCCTGCAGCCTGGAGCAGATGGAGGTGGGAGACGCAGCGTGCACACAGCCCACACTACGGCCATGAGGATCAAACTGAGATTTCTCCACAAAACCCTTCCAGACTAGGGTTGCAGCGAAGTCAGTATCAAAGGGCTTCATAGTATATGGCAGTAGGTACCTTTACTGACATGACAAATCTGATAACAATATTTAGACAATAATATGAACTGATTTTTGGTGTTTTGTTTTTTACATGCACAAAAAGAAGAGGCAAAGTACAGTGAATTTAAAAATAACTGTTCTGATCCTTAACATTTTCTTTTTCATTTTTATCTCAGCCACATTAGTTTGTCCATTTTAGCATTGTTTCTGTTGTCAAAACCTGCACCGGTATGAAAATTTTGAAAAAAAAACAAAAACATCTAATTATTCACTGAACAGAACTGGTACAATACTTACAATACTCAGAAATGTGATAATCACATCTTTGGCGTGCATGGAAAAACGTTGGATTTTCAATATAAATGTTATAATACCTTTTAATTTTTAGTCTTATGAATGAGAAAAGTATGTAGGTAACTGGGGATGGTCAGTAGCACAGATTGTCATCCCTGAATTTGTCTGTCTGCCCCAGGGAAGTGGAATAATTGCTTGAAATGAATGTTCAATAAATTCAGGGTTTATTCAAGATTTAAGCCTGATTATTTGATGCAATAAAGATGTTAAAACCATTCTTTCTGAGGTATTGTACTAGTCTAAATTAAAGCACACACAATGATTATTTTTTTCCCCAGCTTTTGAAACTAGGCCGATGTATTAAAGCGCTTTCTTGAGTTGTGACATTGCTTTTAAAATAATAATAGCTACAATAATTTAGTATATACAAAACAAATATTATCTTTATTTATGGTGGGCTATTATCCACATTAGCCGGTCCGTATTTCCTAAAGCACTGGAGCAGCTTTGCATGATTTATACTTTGAAATCTTCTTATTTATCATTTGCATTTGGCTCGGACCATTTTTAGAAGCAGCCTCTTAGCGAATGAAGAATCTGCTTTGATTGGCCAGTTTAGAGACGACCGCTTTAATCCTGGGTTTAGAATGAGGAAAGTTTTCAGTTTAGACCTGGTTTAATCCTGGTTTTGTGACAGTTTAGAGTTAATTAAATGTTAGTTAAATGTTTGTCTTTTTTCCTTCAACCCAGTTTTATTTTGGGTTCAGTTCTAGTTTAGACCAATTAATCCCTGTTATGTTAGTTTGTTCTTATTTTAGTTTTCTTCTTGGTTTAACCTGGTTTAATCCTAGACTGAATTTAATTTAATCATAATTTAATCCTGGTTTAGTCCTTATTTTAGTCATGTACATGTTTTTGGTCAAACTTCATCTTCACCCTGGCTCAGTCCTGGTTTATTTTTGGTTCAGTCCTTGATTTAATTCTAGTTTAGTCCCAGTTCACTTCCAGTTTAGCCCCTCAGCTCTTGATGAATCCTTTGTTTTGATTGGTCGGTTTACAGAAGCTTTGCCAGACCCCAGTGCAGAGCCGCTGTGAGCACATGGTTAGTGCTGGCCTGCTTTCATGGCTGTTTATGCCTCAGAAAACCAAGCAGGCGCAGAACTATTTCACCTTTGGTCACTCACTGTCCTCAAATGCAGCTTAAGTCTACCTCATTTATCATTCAGTTTGGTAAAGTGCTTGAGGTACTGTTGGCAAGCCTCTTCCGCTGGTGCTCATTGTGCAATTAACACAGCGTAGCCTTAGTTTTGTCCTGATTTAGTTGGTTTAAAAGCTTGTCTCATCTCAGTTTGTTCCTAGATCAGTCTTTACACTTGATTTATTCCCAGTTTAACCAAGATTTATTCCTGGATCAGTCTTAGTTTTCACCTGAAATATTCCAAGGCTGAATCCCAGATTTGTTATGGTTAAAATCACACTTACGAGGAGATTTCTTACAGTTTAATCTGGCATATTACTTGATTTTGAATGCATGTGTTTCTGATGAAATTAAAAAAGTAATTGTATGTAAATGCATTCTATGGCCAAATGACTAAGATCGTTTTTGGGGTGTGGAATCTTATTTCTGTTATAGCAGGTGATCCATTGGAGACACAAAGCTCATTTTGGTCTTATTTTGAAGCTGACAAATTGGGGAAGTTTTCTATTTACATATGAAACTGCAGTTCCATGCTGATGTGTCACAGTCAGTTACTTTGTAGAACGAATTTGTCCTTGAGAAAGCAATTTTCTGATATTTATTTCTATAAATGGTGTAATAACTGTAAACAGAAATGCATAAAACCCTGTAAGATTATATTGTTGTATTCCTCATCATGTCAGCATTCTTTGTTCCAAATATCTCTGGGACACTGTATGTGACTATAGAAGCACTTTTAACAGACTCGTATCATTTCACATTGCGGTGGAGGTTTCTGGCTCCTGAACTGTAATACTATTACCATGAAGTCTAAACTTTTGAGGAAAGGTCAATATCAAATGATATCCTATTAATGTGTATTTTATGTGATAGTATTTGAAATAAGTATCTATTTTGATACCAATTTTCATTATCCGTTATCTGGATACCATTTTTGACAGCTCTAACCCGTTCTTAGTGCAGATTAAGTTGTGACATAAATGTAATCTGAGTTGGTTCTCCTGGAGTGAAAAGTCTAGTTAGGCCTAGCCACAATTCTGTCAATCATTTTTCTGAGAGAGAAAGAGGGTGATGTAGAATGGTAACATAACGCGTTGATACTGACCTACTGGCTCCCTCTGGTTCTGGTGGAGGACCTTGCTGTTGCTCCCATCCATGTTGGCCATGTTAATTGTGTTGCCATCTGTCCAATAGATTTTCCTGTAGGGAGAGGTGTGAGGGTAATGGTTAATGAACTAGCCACAACAAGACCACATTTTTACTCCAACAACACACTGTTTAGAGGACCACACATTGTGAATTACTGAGGCCAATCTAGTCTAGTCTAGTCCAGAAATATTGGCTCATTATGATGAAATTGTAATACACGTGTAATATGTGTTGCAATGTGTGTGTCTGTGTGACTTCAGTTGACCAATAACATTGTGTTTGCCTTTTATGGACTCATAAATGATGACTGATGATTGTAATTTGGGGCTAAACAGAAATAAATGTAACTGAAGCTCTACAAATAAATATATTTGTATAGTCGTATATAATGCAAAATGTACTCATGTGAGATATATACCATATTATAATGTTGTTAACATCTGTGGAGTTATTTTACTCATGTTGAGCAATCCTTTATTATTAGTCGGTCTACATATACAAATCTCACAATCTTCTTCACCTTATGATGTCATGAAGTCTTCAAGTTAACAGCTACCTTTTACCTTTTGTTCAGTAGAGACTGACAATTTCAGGGCTTAAATTATCCTAGTGTCTCTAGTGAAGGTGTATAGAGTTTAAAAATATAATGGAGCACTTCCTGTATTTCCACATGACATCACAAGGTGGAACAGAGTGTTTTCTGCATGAGAGAAGCAGCCTAAATATGTGGGATTTGTGTGGTAAACGTGTGAATGAAACAAAACATAACTCTGAGCATGTTTTTAATCATGAGGAAACAACATTATAACATAGATGAAGATGGAGTAATATGGGCTCTTACCCATTATATATTATACGGTCTTCACATGCATTAGAAAATCTTGTTGCCCTTTATAACCCATGTGGTTGTTATATGAAGACTTTTTGTCTATGGAAATAAACCTTTTAACAGCTTTGATTGAATTAGCTTTGATAATCAGCAGTAGGCTCCAATTCAGATGCTAGATGGTTAGGTATTATTTCTGGCTTTGAATATCTATATCATTACTTTAAAACTCCTTCACAATTCTGCACTGGGAACAGTCAGCCAATACACCTAACTGAATCACTCTATCACTGTTGCCCATCTAAATCTTGAACATTAATTTGTTGTGGTTAAATTGTGGACAATCCATGCATTTCACACTGATTTTCCCCAACATGAGTCTATAATAGATAAATGCGTAGTCTTCTGTGTGTTTGTGTTATGCTACAGTTTGCTCTGGAGGTGAGGGGGTCTAATCTACTTACCCCTTGGCCGGGTGCACCACCAGGCACCTTGGCTTATCAATGCCGTGGATGATGGAGGTCTTCAGGGAGCCATCAAAGCGAGCCACATTGATTTGCGACTCGTCATTTTCGGAGCTGAGCCAGTATAAGTTCCTGGAAAGCCAGTCTAAAGCCAGGCCGCGGCAGTTCACAATGTCTGTAATGGAGGAAATCGGTAAACAATTACACTGTTGTCTCTTGTCTGAAGCAAACCAGAACAGGGGAAATGTATTTTATAGATAAAATGGTTGAAAATTGTAACTAAATATACTGATACTTTGCAGAAACATCATGCTGGGGGTATTCTACATCAGTTACTATGGTGACAGATCAGCATTGAACACAGACAAAAATATTTTAAGATTGTCTGAAAACTCATGAAAAAAGTACAAAATAGATGTCTGTGTAATCCCTCAGTCATTCAGGTAGGATCCATAGCAAAAGAAAGAACTTCTAACACAGCAGTGCCTACAGTTATAAAAAGTATCAACAGAGACATTTTAGACTTGAAACAAGGCTGCAAGTGACTGTGCCCAGGCAGTTTTATTCATGGGTTTAAGGTGATGAATTAGGATTGCTAGTGCTGCAGTTGACAATTCAAAACAAAGTATTCTGTCTTTTCTATGGTCAAACATCCTAAAAATGGCTGTCATAATGGCAAAAAAGGCAGGGGCACTGAAATGCATGAATTTTATAATGTTGTTGATGGGTCCTTGTGCAAGAAACAGCACTCATTCTACCAGTAGGAATTAATTAACATTTAAAGCAATATTTTAGCATCACTGCAATGTTGGTAAATGAGTGAGCATTACTGACAAAAAAGTTTTCCAATGATAATTAGAGAGCATTTTGAGAACCAAACTGAAATGTGCCAAAACATGTTTAAATATAGTTAAGGTTTTGTATATGTAAAACTGAAAATTCAAATATTACATCTTCAAAAGAACATTCACAACATTATTCATATATTAAAGGGCCCATCTCATGCAAAATAACTCTTTTCACATTGTATCTTACGCACATATACAAGCAAAATTTGGGTTTTGGAACATCAATTACACTATAGTTATGGAATCTTACTGATTTCTTGGAGGCAGTCACAGACCAGGAACTGTGAATGAATGACTATTGCTCACCCTCCCACTTGTCCTGAGAAAGCACAGGCTCCGCCCTCCAAATTGACGTAGGCTCTGAGTGAGCCGCCCTTCCTCCACCCATCTCAGGGAGGGAGGGGGAGACAGGCGTGCTCCCTGATAGCGGTAGGAATAAACTGTTTTTCATCATGGCGATATAGCTCGTTCAGCCACATGTGTTGGACCTGGAATCAGACGAGGACTTGGAGGTGCACGAAGCTCAAGCATCGCGTTGGCATCAGCTGAACATTACTGATTGGTAAAGTATTAATAAACACTAGTATATAAACTTAGTATATATCGTGTACAATGCAGTGTAGAACAATGAGCTTATGCTGTCGCTTTTGTTTAGGTGTTCATGTGGGAATTGTCAGGGTGGAGGCGGGGTGGAGGCGAAGCGTCTTCTGCTATGTCAAACGCGATATAGGTGTAGCTGGCTGCGTCATCATTGTAGCAGCTTTAGTTCATTGTCACGTGGGAGGGTGGCAGAAACACGCTGCAATTTGTTAAAAAAAAACACAGAATCAATCTAAAACCCACTTCGGCTACATTTTCAAGGAACACACATCTCTCTTAGAAGGTAGAAAGCTCTGAAAAGTTGATTTTGCATGAGATGGACCCTTTAACTTACTGCCTACTTCCTTTTGGAAGTTACAAAAGAAATGTGTGTACTCTCTTAAAATAGAAATACAGCACAAACAAAAAATAAAATAAAAGTAAGGGGCACTGAAGTAAAACTGAGATAAATATTGGCACAGTAATCACATTGTAACCAGGGAGATATAGATAACTGCATTGTTTGTGAATGTTCTGTCACCAAAAATACAACAGCTCTTATTGGCACATTGTCCTGCACAGATGGGCTCTCCTACCTGCAGAAATGATGGTCTCTAGCTGAGTCCCGTTAATAAAAGCGCGTTTGATCGTTTGGGTTTTGATGTCCGCCCAGTAAATCCTCTCCTCTAGGGCGTCATAATCGACCACAGCCACATCGTCAATGTCCGGCACAGTTAGTGCAGTCATTACGTTCATGTACGGGTTTTCAATGTCTACTCCCCGAATCTCTGAGCGCCGCACATACAGGAGGAACCTTTTCAGTGCTGATGGAGATACAAAACAGAGAGAAAAGTCTTTGACCTTTTTGTCCCAAGCATCTGCGATCTTATCATGCAAATGCACATGTCAATCATAAGCAGGAAAATGATGTGTGCAAAAGAAAAACCAAAAGGCCAAGAGCTATTTTTATCACAAATGGTCTCGCTTTGTGCAGTTGGGAAAAGGTAGTTTATGCAGGGGCTGGAGGAATACAGAAAAGTTGGATTTACACAGCATGAAATGTAATCGACAAATTAAAGGAGCTGAAAATAGTTCATAAGAGATTAGTAACAAAGGTTCAAGAAACACATTTTCAAAGATAAATCTTTCATCTTTAGGTGAGAAAAAACATTAACATATGCTGCAAGTCATTAAATTAAGAGGCCCGTACAATTAGTAAGTGCTTATGGTGGTATGTAATTACAATGAAGAACAGATAAAAAACAAGTCAAGTCTATCAATCCTTCATGAAAAACAGCAGTATTTGTCAAAGTACTCTATGTGCCAGTGGAAGTAGTAATGGTAGTAGTAACAGTAGTAACAGTAGTAGTAGTAGTAGTAGTAGTAGCAGCAGTAGTAGTAGTAGTAGTAGTAGTAGTAGTAGTAGTAGTAGTAGTCATTGTAGTAGTTGTTGTTGTAGTAGCAGTAGTAGCAGGGGCAGTAGTATTAGTAGTAGTGGTGGTGGTGGTGGTTGTAGTGTTGCAGAGTTTCTTGACATCACAGAAGTGGTAAAAGTAGTTCACACTGATTTTTATCATTACTGAATGATCATTTTCACTGATATTTCCCAAAAGTAATGACAGTACCGAATGTATTTGTAACTGGTAACTTTCCTGAGTCAAACAGAGTGATATGAGATTAAGATACATGAGTCTGAGCTCACCGAAGCAGGACTGTTTGTTGGGCGAGAGCTTCATAAGGTGTGGACAGGTGCACGACGCGCTGCGGTTGTAACTGATGAGACACAGATGTGAGCAGGGTCCGCGTCCATCATTCTCCCCGCACGGGTTAGAGGCTGAGAGAGGGAGGGATAGAGAGAGAAAGAGAAAGGAGGCGAGAGAGAGGGGTGGGTGAGATGAGAGAGAGTGGAACAGAAAACGGAATGGGGTGAGGAAGAGAGAGAGGTCCATCAAGAGAACAGTAAGGTGGGGGGAGAGGGAGAAGGAGAGAGATCGAGATGAAAGAGAAAGGTGTTGGAGAGAGAGGAAGACAGAGATGAAGAGTGAACGAGGGAGGAAAAAGTGATATGGAGTAGGAAGGGAGAGAGACAGAGAGGGGATGAGCAGACAATTTAGAACAAACAGGAAACAATTACAGCAAGTGTAACAAGGACATCTGAACAAAATGACAGTGCTATAGAAATATTGTATTAAGGTGGAATGAATCAGGATGTTTGGAAATCTGCCTGGGCTTTTCAATAATACATTTAATAACAATATAGAAGTCACAACACTGTACTTAAAGCCAGTTGAAGAAATCAGACTTGATAAGGCTTTGGCCCTGGTACACAAAATACAATCCACTTCCAAAAGTCATACGCATCTTTCAGTACAATTTTAAGCCAACAAAATGAAGTGTGAAATCAGCTCTATCTTTATTTAGGCTTTTGACTTACAGTATAACATACTTATACGTATAAAAATGCACATATTCCTCCTTGAGCATATAGAAAATGAGCATATTAATCATGCATATGCTGTTGCTTCATATTAAACAATATTCAACCATTTTACAACCAATACCATTAAAAGAACCACTCCGAGACTCAGCTGGGTGCTATAAAGGCTTATACATCACACCATTTTCCATCTGAAATAAGACGCGTTTACAATGCGCTCCGACTCCCCTCCCATCCCGCCCTGTAAGCCGCGGAAATGAACTTTGAATTGAGGTGTGCGTGGAGGGGATCATTGGGAATTCATGTCGGAATCAAGGGGTTTGATACAGGAGATGGGATCAGGGCTTTGCGGTCAGTAATTGAGATGTGGGTGCCAGACGGAGCGGGAATAATCCGGAATAATACAACACAGGGACATAAAAAACAACTTGTTCAAATGCATAGCGCTTATGAGGGCTCTGTTTGGTCATGTCCGTAAAATGTGATTTGCTTTCTTGCGCTTTCTTGTGGCTATAGGGGCAGAAGCTAGATCAAAATATATTGGCTTGACATAGTTGAGCTGCGAATATGAAAACATATTTACCATACCGTACTTGTTTACAACTTCAAATATGTACTTTGCATTGTGGCCTTTGTAAAACTCCTATTGATACATTGCAGCTGATGTCATCAACATTCCCTGGGGGTGTGATGCTAACTGTAGGCACTGTTCTGTCTGAAGCTCTGTTACTCAAGTTAGACTTTAATCTGAGCTTTATTTGAACACAGTCTGACCATAAAGAGTTAACCTAGCTGGATCTACTACAGGTGAGCTGATTTGTACTGTTTTCAATTCCTTCTCACATAAAATTACAGTCACAAGCTCGTTAGCATTAGTTAACAGTTTTTCATTTAGTCACTCTCACAATTTTTTTTGAAAATTAAACACCTAAATAGGACCACACACATTCCTGAAAATTTGTTGCTTAAATTCATTTTGTGTTTTTCTTTGAGTTTTCAGACTACCTTAAAGGAACAGTCTAGAATTTTGGACGTAGGTCCTCACTTCCTAGTTAACCAGAGTGTTGGAGACATGTGGAGACACGTTTTTAAATATTCCATCCAGTCCTTGTACTTGCAGAGGTCGCTGGTGCTAGGCTAGTGCATGTCAATGGCCATAGTTAGCCTGCCACTAAAAACAGTCTTACCCATTCCACAAAGCACCCGAAGCAAATCTGTTATTACTCTAGACTGTCGCTGTGACTGTCTGTGTTGATAAAATAATTTTAGAAGTAAAACCAACCTTACATTTGAAGGATTTATATCTGAGCAGCAGCAGCGAGTTGAACTTCCTTATACAAAGCTTGGCAGTAGTGGACTGATATCACCTGTCTTAATGGCAAAGAAAGATTCTGCTGCTGCTCAAAAAATAGTCCCTCAACATGCGACGATTCATGCGATGCAAGGTTAGTTTTAGTTTAAACATTATTCTATTAACACAGACATTTACATCGACAGTCTGGTGTAATAATAGATTTGCTTTGGGTGCTTTGTGGAGTGGGTAAGGCTGTTTTTAGTGGCAGGCTAACTATGGCCATTGACATGCGCTAGCCTAAGCTAACTAGGAAATGAGGCCCTATGTTAAAAATTCTGGAATGTCCCTTTAAAATTTTTTGTCTTGTTTGTTTGCTAATGTGTGTATTGTGTTACCATGGAAACTCCTTTACATTCCACCATCAGAAATACATGTAGAGAACCACCAATGTGATGTTATGCAACATTTGTGTCACATTAACATTTTAGTTGTGTTACAAGATCTGATAACTTAATGTAATAGTTGTATGCTATATGTTCTACATTGGGAGTCTAATTTATTATTTTAATCAAATGGTATTATCTAATGCTTATCTAATATCTAATGCGTATTCAGTTACTCAGTTTTATCCTTTTATTTTCAACCACTGAAATAATATCATTGAGTTAAGAATTTACAGAATTTGCTCATGTTATTCAATCTTTTGGAAGAGTCCTCAAAATGGCGGCCATAACAGGAAACTGAAACCTATGAATGAGGCTTGGAAATAGCACCCAGCTGAGTCAGTGTGCCAACAGAGAGATGTCTGAGTGGATACAGACGAGCTTAATGCCAAATCTCTCCCCTCTCTCTCTCCTTTTCTCTTGTTCCCTTCCCCTCTTCCTCTCTCTCTCCCTCTCTCACCCTCTCTCAGTCTTTCCCTCTCTCTCTCCTGAGGGATGATTGGCAGCCAAAAAAGCTACACCTCCCTCCACTACAGGGAAAAAGACTGAGTCAAGGCCAGGCTGCTGTTGATGAATAGGTGCAAATGGGTTTCTGCTTAAAAATAAAGCAGCACTTGAATATTTATTCTGAAAGCAATATGACTTGTACATGGTGAAATCGACACAGATGTCACCATTCAAAACCATGATAGGCCCTCGCTCTTCTGTCTGAGTTTGTATGACGCAGCAAACAGGAAGTCATAATTAGCAAAGTTGTTAATGTAGTAAATGGGACTGTATTAACACATTGATGGTAAGTCTGATAGTCTACTCTTTTTATGCATGTATAATCCAGACATATTTCAGTATTAGGGCTTGGAATCACAGGGTTCCTCATGATTCGATACAATACTATGTGATATATTGCTATAGAACCAAACACATTTTATTGGTGACGTCAGCTGTGTGTCTTCACTGAGACTAACCGATGGACCTTCAATTACAGAATTTTCTACTTGATAAATGGCAAGTCTAATGAATTGCAATACTTCCCATTGTGGAATTAATTTATTGTTTGGAACACACCTATTTTATTTTTAATTACTCAAATGTTCCTTTTCAACCACAGCAGTAATTGTGACTCAAAATTCTGTATTGTTCAGATTTTCTTTTTCAATCACCATAATTTAGAAGTAAACTGATTATGAATTTAATTACGGCTGCATGGTGGAATCATCGCTAACTATCTCCTCAGTTTTTCTCAGGTGAGCCTCACGACGTTGTAACCTTGGGACTGCACCAATCTGCTGCTAATGTGCAAATGCTTGTAATGTGATTCTTATGATGAACAGTGACTGGTCTCTGTAATGACACATAATGTATTTACAGATGTTTGTGTGTCCCGCGGAGCTGCAGTCAGACACCTGCTGAGAGCCCACTGAGAGCAGCTGTATCTGTGCTCACGGCTCCTCTCCTACACCCATGTTCACTAACTCTGATCTAGTTTGGCTTCATTATTTTGTTCATAAACATACCACTTCATACATACCCAGTTCTATTTTAAGTCTTACTAGAATTGCAGTGCCTGGTACAACTGAACTGCAAAAAGTATTTTCATTTTTGACGAATTAAGTCCATAATTTTTAATACAAACTTTTAGACTTTACTTTATTCCCGTAAATCATATTCTTGTCACAAATTAGTGGAGGAAGTTAGACACTCTTATTGTAGTTGACATATTATTAATACAGTACATGATCATCAAGTACTTTTTTTTTTCTCTGAACTTTAACATTTAAGGACTTGTGTCTAATTTAAGAGGCTTTTATACAAGGCTATATTTGCAGTAACAATATCAAGTTTACTCAAGGAACTTTGAAATGAGTAGAAGTATTTCAGTATGTTGTAAATTGTTAGATTTATCTTGCAATTATAGTGGACATAGCAATGGTAGAAATTGTTGTAATGGTAACATTATGACTTGAGTTACGATTAGGTTGACAGTTTTACACTTTGCATTCAATATTTTTATCTCTAGAAATATTTCAATTACTTCAATTTGCAGTATATTAGTTTCTGTCACATAGTAGCATTAGTGACACTAATAACAGTAATACTCGTGAAATATAGTTGTACTACAAGTTGCAGTGGCAATTACAGCAATTGATATAAATGATATTGCAGTGAGACTACTTGTACTTCCCCAGCTGCGTCTCCAGTCCAGATGTGCAAAGGCAAATATTGTGCACAGAGGCAGCCCCTATAGAGCTCTGGTTGTGGCTGGAGTGGATAATGGCCCAGAGCCCCCCGCTGAGCTCTCCCAAACAGGATTAGACGCGGGTTCTGTCGTCTTTGGGGAAAATCAGGCCTTCTGCAGCGCATTTATCTATAGTGAACAGTGACGCTAACGCAGATACCGGAAGGAAACAAGCAAATTAACTTGACAGTGAAGAAGCGCTGGAATCACTAAATAGATGTAAAACCGATTAGCATCATAATAATGCCCCTTTTATAAGATGGGGGCTTACATGCCATGGGGGCTTAGCTGGGTACATTTGCAACTTGGCAGAACTGGAAAAGACCGGGCAAGTGGTAAGGAGGTGCTGTCTGGGACCAAAGAATTAAGACATTTAATTTGGTGGAATTGGCGAACGGCTCAATTAGGAATGAGGACGAATAGGCAATATAAACAAACCTGATGCATCTCTGAGCTACACTGGTCCTCCATTTGTAGGGTTGAAATAGTATTTAGCATTTAGCAATGTTATCTTAATGGCAACTAGGATGTTGTCTAATTTGATACTGTCAAATAACTAGTATCTGTATGTAGGGCTGGGTATCATTAAGACGTTGCCAATATGATACAGATCTCTATTCAGTGCACTATCGGTTCGATATGATATATTTCAAATCGATTCGATACAGCTCAATAAAAAACAAAGGCTAAATCATGGCTGTGATACTAAAAGTCTTTGTTAAACCACTTCTTGTGCAAAGTTAATATGAAACACAAACATTTTAATCATCAAAACAGTGAAAATGTCAATTGTGTTGCATAAACGAGTGTCCTTCCACTAAACAAACAACAAAACTGTAGCACTGTAACAAAATAATTCGGCGATATATATCTATACAGCAGCCCACGATATCGATACTGTATCATCACATTAAACGATACGATATATTGATATTTCAATATTTTTGCACATCCCTATCTGTAAGTTTATTTATTTATTTTTCACCACTAGGGTAAACGTGTCCCCAGACAGCAATAATGAAGATTACATCTAGTGGTGATATATGAGAATACCACAGGGCTGGGTCAGTCAATCTAATTACAGATGGTAGCTTTAATATTTGCAGGCCCACATAAAAAATGACCATTTCTACTAAAAAAATTGCATTACAATAATGCCCCTTTTATAAGATGAGGGCTTACACACCATATCCGCTTAGCTGGGTACATTTGCAACTTGGCAGAACTGGAAAAGATCATGCAATAGGTAAGGAGGTGCTATCTGGGAAGAATTAAGACATTTAATTTGGTGGAATTGGCGAATGGCTCAATTAGAAATAAGGACAAATAGGCAATATAAACAAACCTGATGCACTTCTTAACTGCACTGGTCCTCCACTTTTAGGATTGAAATAGTATTTAGCATTTAGCAACGTTAACTTAATGGCAACTAGGATATTGCCTAATTTGATGATGTCAAATCACTAGTATGGCACACCATCAGACACCAATAATGTAGAGAGCATCAAGTGGTGATATAAGAGAATGCTACAGGGCTGGGCAGTCAGTCTGATTACAGATAGTAGCTTTAATGTTTGCAGGCCCACATACAAAGTGGATACTTCTACAATTAATTTTCTCAAGCTTATTAAAAAAATAAAACATAAAAAATACTCAATAAGTTATAAACAAAACCAACCAATGATCTAATGCTTACGTAACAGATTACATATTTGGTCCAATAATTTCAAGATTACCAGTCTTATTTTTATGTACTAGATACAACGTAACTTACCATTCTGACATTGCTACATTGTTCATTTTGTATTGTAATATAATAGTTTTTAGGGTATGAATAATAACACATGTGCTTTAAACACACAATCTGGTGGTGCCATTAACTCGCACAAGCTTATTCTCTGCATGACTGCGTCCTCACACATAATATGTGTCAAAATGATTGACGGGCTAAATGAAGGCAGACGTCAAAGCTGGCAGTAATTACATTTTTTTTTTCTTTTACTTAGTTATATTAGTGGTAATTGTGGTTTAAATCAGGCCCATATCCTTTTATGCAATATGAGAGTTACTTTGTTAATTCCTTTTTTTAGTACATCATAGAACAAAGTAATAGTAAGTAACACTCCAGAAGCTTTAGAAATTTGCCTTAAATGTGCAAAATTGGAAAGGAGTTTTATTTCGAGGCTAACACTTTTTACAATAAGAATGTAACAATAACCAAGATATTACAGGATCAAAACGCTGTAAAAGCCTCACAGTTTCATCGACAGAGATATCACAGTACAAGCTCTTATGCCTAAATACGGAAAAAAAGGAAACAGGACTATTGGTCTTTTAATCAATGCTTCTCACAGGATGGAAATATATCATAGCACAATGAGCTTTCTGTAAATAATTACCATTTCTAAACCCTCACACTATTATATTACATTTGTAAGATAATTTACCCTTCATTATTTCTTAGTTTAAAATTGCCTCAGGAGCCATGTTTACACTACACAGATTTACCCTTGGCCTAACATTGTCAGAAGTGTGGTACAATGCTGTCTAACTGGAGCGCCACTGGCCTCCATAAGCTCACTACATTTGCATTTGAACCTAAATAATATACCAATTCCAAACCTTCCAAGTCTAAGTACTATAACCTACCTATCAAAGTATACAGAAGTAAGTGAGGGAAAAACTATAAACCAGGAGTCAACCAAGACTAAGGTACAAGAATGCACCAGGACTCACTCAAATTACCTAAGTTAAGACAAAACTGAGTATCTGATTAAACAAGGTCTAAACTTTAAAACATTAACCCCTGAATTTATACAGATGTATATAAAAATGTTTTGTGTGTGTTTTTATCTTTAAGTAGATGGTAAATTAAGTTGAGATTATTAATTTGACTATAGCAAAAAAAAAAATGAATAGAAATTTGGGTAGGTTGCAAATTTGCGACAACCAGAAACAAGTGCTTGCCAAAAGTTCCTAGGATGGTACTGCATATGCACGAACCGGCACTGGGGAAAGCAGTCGCTATCTCGGCTTATATCTTGATCCAAACAGTTTTTCGCATATTTATGACAGTCGGTGTTAAGGGGCTAATGCAAAAATACCTTTTAGTATTGCAAGAAGGAGCGTACATACCACATGTATTACCACACAGTTTGAAAAGCACTCCAATAGTCCACTGGACACTCACCTTGTGGCTGTCTGCTGGGGTGAAAAATCTGCAAATCAAAAGGCTGAGCACTGGTCTTTTGGATGACAGTGACATTTTGGCCTGTCCACTTGTTGGCTCTGGCCAAAGTGTTGGTCCTCCAGTCGGTCCAGTACACATTACCCCCAAAAAGAGACACCGCGAAAGGGTGAGAGAGGTACTCGTGCCCTCTCAGGATCTCTATCACCCCACTGCCATCGTAGAGTGCAGAGAAAATGGCATCAGATCTGTGGGAAAGACAAGAAGATACATTGTTCAAAGGCATGTTTTGAAATATTTTTGATTATTATATATTTGAATGTGCTTTTCTGATACCTGACAATGGAATTTATTAATTACCACCCACTTTGAGATTCAATTTATATTTCCCACAAAATAAAAAAAAAAAAAAAAAACAGTTAATATTAAAATTTTGAAACTTTGTTTGGTGCTAATCAGCTATGTGGTATCTAACAACCACCTATAATATTATTTCCATTTCCGCTAAATGATTTAAACATTTAGCAGTGTTTCTGGACTGAAAACAACAGTGTTTAGTGTTTAGGCTGCCTTTGTGCTCTTACGATTTGAATTTTTTTGAAAAGTCTTAGAAAAATAAATGGAAAATGTCCAGAACCTCTGTGGGTTTTGAAGTGGGTGGGAGTGTTGAGCTCTATGTTGATGTGAAATTGTTCATGGGGAGGGAAATATTGACAAAAATAATATCTTAATACTTTTGGGACATGAGTGGACAGTAAAATTGCCTTGTTGGTAAGATTACACAGCCTTTTTTCTTTTCTGATTCTGTTAAATGTTAATGTTATCCTGAAGAATGTACATATTTCTGTATCTATATATGCCCCGCTTTCAACCAAATATGGCCATTGTAGTGAGATCTTTAAATATTATATGCCACCCATTATTTAAGTGTTAGAGACAGGATGAAAATTCAAGTTTAATTTCTGCTCATAAATCCTTATCTCCATTATGCATAATCAGAGCATAAAAGTACAAAAGGTGTTAAAAAGGCACAGTGCATTATGGGAAATAAAATAGGCTTGTTGTACCGTGCGTCTGTCCACACGATCCGCTTCTCCAGATGGTCCAGGGTGAGTCCATTAGGCCAAGCTCCAATTTCCATGTCTTTAAAAACAATGTGCCTGCCCCCTCCGCTCATCGATGCTGCCTCGATGCGGGGAAATGTGGCATCCCAGTCTGTCCAAAACAGGATCCTTGAAGAGAAAGAACAATTTAAAAGAAGGATAAGATGGGAATAAAATCATTTTCCTCTGCAAAATAATAGTACTATTTTGCACTGTAATGACGGTAGAAAGATTTGATCTTTATTTTACTTCAAGAACTGAGTCATACTGTATTGTGATCAACTTTCAAAGCATAACACTGTTTTATCAAGAAGCATTTAGCCAAATAATCACCATTCCTAAAATATATATGAAGTTAAAGGTGCAATACTGGATTTTTTTGTCTTAAACACAGAAAAACAAAGTTCATTTAAAACGTTGGTAACAGCGGTTCAGTTATTCCTTACTTTCTCAACATATTCCTAGCATCCTAATTATACAGTGCAACTAGTTTGTACAGGATTTTCACAAGATTTTCAGAGGCAAGAAAGGAGTTTTGTTGTCACACCACTGACAATAACAACTAGCATGCTAACATACATATTTGTTCGAGGAAGATAACACTATAATTGGATACACAAAGCACACAGTTGTCTCATTTTGGCCCTAAGCCTTTGGCCTTCACAATATAATGTTTGGGCAAAAGATTTTTTTCTTTATTACATAAAAATAAAACATACATACATACACACACACAAAAACTTACTTAAGTCTACTAAAAATGTATTCTACTAAATACTATCTACGCTTGTTGGTTAGATCCTTCCACAGCAAAGTTGTACAATGACTAGTAGTACAAAATTTCATAATCCTGTTACAAATTTGTATTTAAATCTGAATTATGACCAGAGCAAGTCCAAAATATATTCATTTGGAGAGCCATCTTGATTTTATTGATTTTAAAATAAATAAGAATCAACTGATAATCACATATATGCATTTCCAAATAAGTACATGTCACAGATTTCAGTTATAGTGAGTGCCACAGTAACAGACACTGGAGTATTATTGGATGTACAGACAGACAGAGAGTCCAAAAGCAGCAGCAGTGATCCAGCACAGCCCTCTGCCTCTGTGACACGCCTGGAGATGGGAAGCCATCTGTTTTATTATGACTTTTCACAGCTCAATGAGGCCTGAAAATGAACACCACCATTGATTCCAACATCCACGCAGTGTCCTGGGTCCTACAGCGAGGAAAAAGAAAAACATGGAAAACTCTACACTTGTTCTGACCTGCCCCTTTTTGCAATGTCAACTTGAACGAAAAGACAAAATGGATGCCAAAGCCTGAATCACAGCCTTTCTTATCTTTTGTTTTCAATTGTTATCTATTTTTGTATTATGAATCATTGTTTTCTGTTGTCATTGTTGCAACATACAAAAACATTCAGACCGTGCATAATAGTGAGCATCAAGCACAAATAGACAACGTCATGGAAAAACAGTTAACTTCATAAAATAAAGAGGTAAGAAAGGTGTGGTTGTATGGTTGTAAGAACTAATATGCTTTTTGTGTTGTTGTTGTTTTTTTAAATTACAATAAGAATAATTAAATGTGAAAAAAATCATAATAATTTGACCAACACCAATCTGTCAAAAAACGAGGAGACAAGCAGTACTTTTGTATGTTTTTTTCCTGATCTCAGTACCAATATTTATGTACAGTATGATGCTGGTTAATTCACAATTTTGACGTAGTCATTTAAGGATGGGTCAAACGTAGAGGACAAATTTCTCTACAGGGAAGTGTGCATTAAGTGTATGTTTTTTTTGTTTTGTTTTTTTGGATTGAATGCACTTTGACACTAATCCAAGTATACTCCGGGTCAAAAGTTTTTAAGAACACCCTAATTTTTACAGTTATTTATTGCAATTCAAGTTGTGCAAGTCCAAAGAAGAGATTAAAATGGTATAAATGTAAGTACTGAACACCTAGAGGTTTAAAAAAAAAAAAACAAAAAGAGAAAGATCACAAAAAATAAGTCCAAGCTCTGCCAAAACTATCTCAGGTAAAAAAGAACAAGATGATGAGCTTGAAAACACGGAGTGTCCAGCACAGTCTCCAGACTTAAACCCCATCGAGCTGGTTTAGGTTGAACTTGACAGAAAAGTGAAAACCAAGCAACCTACAAGTGCCACACATTTACGGAAACTTCTGCAACAGACTTGGGAAGAACTTTCTGAAGAATATTTGATTTCTATTGTAAAAGAATGCCACGAGTGTGTTCAGCTGTTATATCTGCCAAAGGTGGACACTTTCATGAATCAAAACTTTAGAATACGTTTTGGTCAACTGTAAACACTAAACAGTAAAAAACAGGAAAAAGTGTGGTGTTCTAAAACTTTTGACCAGTAGTGTAGCTTCTTTCGTTCTGATACAGTTCTGGCAAATGGCCTTAAATATCTGAAGGAGGGAGCCTGCAAATACACTTATTACACTTGTAAGTTAGTATATATAGTATTTTAAAATATACTATATTAAAAATAAAATAAACAAAGCAAAACAAAAAATAAATAGCACATCACACTCTACTCTTGTTCTGTCCTGCCCCATTTGCAAAGTCAACTCAAACCAACAGAGAAAATGGACTCTGCAGCTTAAATCACAGGCTGACGACAACAGCCCGGCGTGAGGAAGAAATATCCCTGTCTAGATCAATATCTTTGTTCACTTGATAAGGGCCTTCTGATCAATTACCCTCCTCCTTCAGTGGATTCAAGTAATTAGATTAGAATTATTGCCTTGGGATGGAGAATGGACCCTCGGGCAACAAACATACCCATTAATCCTACTTGGTCTGGACTTGAAATGCAGTCATCCTACTGAAAAAAAAAAAAAAAAAAAAAAAAAAACGTATAAGAAAAGATCACAGACGAGCCTCAAAGCTGATTACTCATTTCTTAAGAGTGTTAAATTGATTTTCAAAGTGAGTGGGTTTTGGCTAAAGAACTACAGTGTAAAATCACTGGCTACACGGCTTTAATGCATCTATCCAAAGTAAGCAGCTAATATGAGATGCTAGCCACACACAGCGCATACAGCAACACTTAGCCTCCGTGTAATGCGAAGTGTCGTTATTCATGTAAAATATACTACTTATATGTGGGCCGTCAGCAGTGTCCAGACAAACACTACTTTATGAATTACCCATTTAAAGGCTTGTGTTTGTAGCATGCTGTGGATTAATGGGGGCATTAAGAGTGTTTATTTTCGATGTAAACGATATCGGTGTCAAAGTTAAACTGTCCCACTAAGAAAGAACAATAAGAGCGGATATGATTAAGTATTTTGTTTTTGTACTATGTATGCCTTGGTGAATCTTACCCTTAATTATATAAATGTTATCTAAAATAAATTAATCTAGCCTGCAACTCACTTTCACCAGCACCATAGTATACCACTGAATATACACAGTGTCTGAACTGTGAATCTCAACTCAAATTATAAAATTTGCACTGGTTTTCTATTGGCCCCATCGCCTTCTGTATTAGTTGTTTTGTTTTGTTTTTTGACTTACGTATTTTTATTTTATTTATTCATTTATTTATGTAAAAAAATTTAATTAAATGAAATAAAAAAAATTAATAATAAATTTAAAAAAATTTACTTGGACTAGTCAGGCAGAAGGTACAGAGTCCCAAACTGTAACTGAACAGATTCAAATATTCTTTTGTGCCATTAGTCGTTAATCTGCTTAACTCAGATAATGCAGATAAAAAATACAAGTAAAAGGCTTAGGGAATATGCGATCTAAACTGCACATAGGTCAGGGGAATGTGCAATCAAAACCGCACATAGGTTGGGGGAATGTGCAATTAAAACTGCATATAGTCTTATGAAATGTGCAATTATTAACAGAATACAAGATTGGGAAGGACTTGCCTGTAAAGAGTAACTTAAAGGTCTTGTTGGTGTATCACTCGTGGTCATAATTGGTCTCTTATTTATTTATGTTCTATGGTGGTGTTTGTACATTGTTTTTGTAGTTGTGGTGTCCTGTCTTTGTGATAAAGCATGTGATCCTCTGTCCCAAGCCAAATTTCTCCCATGGGAGACAATAAAGGATTATCTTATCTTATCTTACAAACCAGACTTAACCAGGATACGGTTTTGTCCTTTTTTTACAGAATGAGCACCAAAACCATCCCATCTCAAACAATATGTGCTGGCATTGGTAATACAATCACCAAGTTAATTCCATTTTAATAGGGAACAATGTAGCTTTCTGATCTCTCTATGGAAACGTCTTTATGGAGATGTTCTGGCTTCAGCAGGAATGTTCTACAGCATGACTTTAAACTTATCTCCATTGCATTCATTCAATTACAGGTCTGTTTATTGCTCAAAAATACCTTGAAAATGCATTATTACTGAGTGTGGTCACCTCACTACAATTCTGATTAATAATGTGGTCTCACCTTAATTTCTCAAGATCAAGATAGATACCTTTAATTTAAGGATTCAAGTGAAGCAATAACATCGCCATGGAGACAAGCAGATGCCAGAACCTCTACCAGAAGCGCTGCAAAGTGTGTTTATATAGTGTTTATAATGTCTCGAGGTGTTAACACACACATTTAACCAACATTTTATATCTTTATGAAGACGAACCAACCACTCAACAAGCTTCTATTTTTGGCACACTGTCTGTTCATTTAATACATATGACATTAACGTATGAATCTGCAGTGTCACCGCTCCAAGTCATTTGTATCTCATATGTTTTCCTCATTACTTTATGTCATTGCACCATCAATTCTCTCTCCTCTACAGCAGCCAACAACATAAAACACAGGAAAAATATTTGAGTCAATAAACAGTTTTAAAGGCATAATAAAATGATCAGATAGCCAGGCCCGGTACAGTGCAAGTAATATCCCTTTAACCTTCACCTGAAATGAAATATTAAGGTTCGTATGTGCACTGAATAATTTATACTTTATTACACCCAGGGACTTTCACGTAACTCAATTTCATATAGTAAATACTGGCAGTAATATCAAGTTTGTTTTAGTTTAATATGTACACAAATAGATGGTTCTAATGGTAAGTGGGGGCATGCTAATCCAATCCACCCACAGTGAATATAGCACGAGCTAGCAGTATTTTGACGAGTACAGGGAAGCTTGAAACTAATAAATGAAAGCCGGTTCCCACTTCTCGATCTCTGCAGGTTAAGAAAGTCAAACTATTCCTTTTATGTTTGCTATGCTAAGAGCCCCTTGCTTGTAAATGTTTGATGTTATGTAATGTAATGAAATGAGAGTTTATATGAAGAAATTTGGGTTAAATGGAAATGAGATTATTTATTATTATTATTATTATTATTATTATTATTATTATTACTCGCCCAGCCCTATAGCAACAGTTGGATAAAGTGGCCTAATAGCAAGGGGCTCCAGTTTCTGTGAAAAAGGAACATTGTGCAAAGATTTTATTAACATGCATGGTTGGTAGATGATAATGACAATTTTAAGCAGAATACAAAGTACTATAAAGGATATTTAAAAACAGATAGTGACTGTCCTTTAGTACACTATGGGCAAGAATCTTAAAAAAAAAAAATCACTTCTTGAAATGTTCAAAGTAATGTGGCATTTCTGTTTTTGCTCCAACCTTTCACAGATGTAATTTTAATATTTTCTAAATTAAAAGTTTGGAAGGTCAAGTACGCCACCAGCAGCTATCCAGAAAGATAATTACTTTTTAAAACACATTTTCTTTTGATTATTTCCTATGACTTCTTGTTTATGGTCTTCCTCCGGGTCTCCTCCTGGCACCTCAAACTTCATTTACAAAACAACTTCTCTTCACATTGTAACCTTCCATTTTTACTAACCACATTTTATGACTTATCACATCTCAGCCTGTTCTTTGTGGACTTATGCTCCTTTGAACAGAACTAGTTCACTTTAAACTGTTAATAACTCCCAGAAACCAGTGTAGACTAGCATACTAATATGTACTTCCTGATTACCACACAACAACACAACAATTCGTTCTAATAAGATGCCGATAGCACACAGCTGACTTATTTTTACCTCAGGAGCTGCTTATACAATTTATCTGTACTGGGGGAAGCCACATTTTGCTCCAATACTGAGTACACCACCTTTAATGTACCAAAACCTAATCACAACAACAATCTTTTACATGTCTTATATTATTGCTCTTTTTCTGTGTAAAACATAGCTGTGAAACGAGGCACACTGGCGCATATAGAGCGCATGGATGAGAGGGCATTGGCTGCATCACTTGTCATTACAGGAACACAGAGCCCTGATGCTGTTATTGATGTCTCCCATATCTTCTGCTTTAATGGACCTTAGCACAGCGGACATCTTCATACATCAGGCCGCGCACACAAGTGAGAAATACAACACGGTGGGACTTTTCTGAGAGCTTGATGGATAGCAGAAGCATATATGGTGCAGTATTAAGTCCGGAAATATCATACAAATGTACATGCAAAGATCATTTTTACTTTGTTAATTGATGTGTTTCGCTTAGGATTACTGTTAATAGTTTAAGGCAATGGTGTCTGCATCGTTTTATCCCACAGTTTTGGCACAGATTTCAGTGCTGTAAATTAACATTAGGGTTGCACTTTACAGCACAGTAATAGAATGGGAATAGCAACTAAGATCACAATAGGATAATCCACTTTATTTCTATATATTTCCAAGAAATTACTAACCGCGTTTCTTGGTAATGTACAGTCTTTATAATTGAGGTAAGATTCATTTTATTACCATGAAATAAAGCTGAATAAGAGATGGTCCTTGGTTTTCACAGACCATGTACTATAATTTCACATTTATCTATTGTGTTGTAATATAATGCTTGATAATATGGCTTCTGTCATCATTATAAATTAAAAAAAGAGAGATTTAGTTTAATCTATAGTTTGGCCACTTCAGAATGTACCGCCGTCAATAAGTCCTTACTTTGTTTTTGGGCACAACTGGAATAAATGTCATTTTAAAGGCTCTACCAGATTAAAAATGTGAAAAACAAAACTATAAATTTTAAATGGTTTGCAGCAGTCCAGAAGTATTCCTCACTTTCTTTAAGACATTACTAGCATCCTAATTTTCACTGTGATAAGTTTAGAAATGCTTTTCACAACTTTCAGAAACCAGAGTCTGCTGTACAACAATAACTAGTATGCTAACAGGGCATTTCCTGATTTTCTGACAATGAAACGCTTAGATGCAGACAGCACAAAATGGTCTCATTTCAGTGCTCAACTACATGGAAAAGTTTCTTTGAACGTTCATTGTGGTGTTGTTGTGGACCTACCCTTGTCCGGGGTCTAGAGCGATGGCCCTTGGGTGTTCCATGCCTCCAGCAATGAGGGTGGTACGCATCTCTCCATTCAGCAGAGCCACTTCGATCTGGTCTAAGTTACTGTCAATCCAGTAGAGCTTCCCTGTGATCCAGTCTACTGCCAGGCCCTCAGGAGTGGCCAAACCGTGCTGCACCACCACCTCAATCCCAGTCACACCTGGAAACACAAGATCGTGTTAAAGAGGTATTTAAAGTCCATACAGTTTTAAAGGTACTGCTAAAGAGCATACACAATATAATTTTATCTACCATGATAATTGAATAAATACATATTTAGTGTGCTTACTGATAAATACTAACTTAAAAATAAAATCACTTCTACTACTGCTTCTATATAAGTGCTATTACTGCTAAAGGTAGTAAAAGCAAAAGGTACAACTGCTACTGCTATTACAACCTCAATGGATTGCACTAGAAATACTACTAATAAAACTACTACTTTTACGACTTACTGCCCCTGGGGGCAGTATACTACAACTTTACCATCAAGGTCATGGGTTGTGGGAAATAAAATCTTACTTGCCTATTTGACTAAAAAAGTACAGTTCCAAGTAAATTGCTTTCTACCATCTGTGAACCACATTCAAAGCACTGCCATAAGAGCTATACAGTGCTGTGGCCCAGAAGAAAACCTTAGCAAGAAGCCACTTCCATATAAAACTTCTTTGTGCTAGGGGATCTATTAGATATGGTAAAATGCTCTCCCAGCTTTATGTACGATCCTGCTGTTTACAATAATTCTCAGATGCTGTTTCTTTTGTGTGGGCCTTACAAAAGAGTGAAATAGTGCAGCCGCTCAAAAGGCTGTTTCTACAGACCCACGGAGCAAAATAAAAGAGCCTGGACCACAGTGAAAGCGCTGCCACCTGCGGAAAAATACTCTGCACTGGAGCTTTAGTTTACAGAGTTTTTGATAATGCACAACAGAAACTGAAGACTTCTGTGCCAGGTGAATTTAACTCAGCTGTATGTATTTTTTTAAAGAAAGAAATATCAGTGGGCTGAATAAGGATTGTGCATAGACAGTGGAGTAAAAGTCTTCCAATAACAAGATGATGGGGATTGATTCAGGTGATACATTGCAAAGTTTTATTGTGTGAGATTGTACAGATGTAAGCAGCGTTTCCTAGAGGTTTTTATGAGACTATAGAGGCGCAGGGAATCCTTATTGAATCATTTGATTGAATACAATTTTTGGAGTAAATGTCATTTATCATTTCTCTCCTAAGCAAAAAATAAACGATAAAAGATTAAATCAAGTCTTCTTCTAAGACTATGGGCCAAAAATTAGACTGTGGGGGCCACCATACTGTGTTCTATTAATAGGAAACAAACAACTAAACCAATTCTGAAATTACACAACATAATACCTTAGTTAGGACAGTGGTTCCCAAACGTTTCACACTGTATGAAAATATATGGACTTCTGAGTACCAGCAGCTCCAAACCAAATCAGAAACAGGACCATTCCAGTCTAAAAACACTTGGTATACGAGTTCTAAACAATGACTAACCCAAAGGAGGATCATAATATGGATTAAACTGACTTTAAATTAAGTAAATATTTGAACTGAAGAAACAAGGACCAAAAACAGTTCTTAAAACAATAAAAATGTCCATTTCAGTTCAAGTGGTACTTGACCTACACTGTTCAAGAGACAATATTAACCATCAGCATTGTCATTTCATTGACTTTAAAGCAACATATAATGCAAATGAATGGGCACAGTTAAAACATCCATATGGCCATAACAAGTACATAGAGCCAAAACAGCATTGCAGATACCATAACAGCAATTACATACAGATAATTTACTGCAATTTATAAACCACAACAAAAAATTCTAGCTTCATAGACGGAAGAGTAGTATTATCACATGCTACTACTACACTACTCGCCTATGTCCCTTGCTTTAATTCTCCCTATACATCACTGCAGATACAAAGCTTGCATAGCAGAAAAATATATAGTGCAGTATTAAGTCCGGAAATATCATACAAATGTACATGCAAAGATCATTTTTACTTTGTTAATTGATGTGCTTCGGTTGGGATTACTGTTAATAGTTTAAGGCAATGGTGTATGCATCATTTTTATCCCACACTTTTGGCACAGATCTCAGTGCTATAAATTAACATTAGGGTTGCACTTTACAGCACAGTAATAGAATGCGAATAGCAACTAAGATCACAATAGGATAATGCACTTTGTTTCTATTTATTCCCAAGAAATGATTAACCATGTTTCTTGGTAATGTACAGTCTTTATAATTGGATTAGGATTCATTTTATTACCATGAAATAAAGCCGAATGAGAGATGGGCCCTTGTTCCCTTGATCATGTACTTACTATAATTTCACATTTATGGTTCCTTAAGAAAATCTAAACCAGGACTACACAAGACTACCATGTTTGAAAAAAATCTAGCTTCATAGACAGTAGAAGAGCATTATCACAGCTAACACTACTCGCCTACGCCCCTTGCTTTAGTTCTCCCTATACATCACTTCAGATACAAAGCTTGCATTATCTTATACACGGCCGATTGTACATTACTGTGCACAGTACCTCCAGACTCGGATAGGCGTCCTCTGTAGATCTTATCCTCCACCACATCTGTCCAGTAAAGCAGGCTGCGGTTAAAGTGGAAGTCCAGGGCTATGGTGTTTCTAAGGCCAGGCACCAGCAGGCTGTAGTCGCGCTTGTGAAGGTCTATTCTTCTTATCTCGTGGCGGATGGAGAAAATGATAAACGCCTCAAAGGGGTCTGGGAAAAAAGGAAGACAGAAAAACACATTATTTTCTATCCTGTCAGTCAGTCACAGCTAAGGGGGGGTTTGAAGTAAATGGCATTGTAGGAAATAGGTTACAGTTGCTAAAGGGCTACTTGGTGTTGATATTGGACCACTTTGTCTACGTGGTCACTATGGTAGGTTATGGCTACAATAAAAAATACCTTAATAATACTAATATAGTGATAGTTTTAAGAGGCCATATTACACTTTTTTGTGATCTGTCTTATTATATTGGTGTTTTCTTATCAAATACATACCTGGAGGATTGTTTTGTTTCATTCACACATGTTTAACACACATATCTTGCATACTTAGGATGAGGTCTTCTCCCAGACAGAACTGTTACACCTATCATGCGGTAATACAAGTGCTCCACAGTGTTTTTAAACTCATTTGAATGATTTCCAATTTCCAGACTCTACTGAACTAAAGGTAAAAAGGTGGCTGTTAACCTAAAAAGTACTGCTTCATGACATTACAAGGTGGAACAGAGCATTTTGAGGTTTGGAGATAGCAGCATAACACGTCTTAAATCTCACAAAAGTCAATTATACATAAGATCTTTAAATAAATACCATATGATATAAAACATAAACACATTTGTTGTACATTTTAAAGCAGATGTAGTATTGTAGATTTTAAATGAGCCTTAAGTGTGGGAAGTTGGTTAGACAGCTTTGTTCACTTGTTTATGTGTGCGTAAATGGGCAGGGATTAAATGCAGTATTAAAGATAAGTACTTGGCTCTATATGGTATATCTTAAACTTGTACTCTGTAAATCTAAGTTTTATGGTACACTAAAGTAGAAAGTAATTAGATCTTTTAGCAGTGGTTATATAGTGGCCTTGCAAAACAGCTGAATTTGTAGTAATATATTGGTAGGCTTTTGTTAATTAAAAAAAAAAATATCTATGAAAATAATGTTATATTATGGTTTGGTGTGTTCAAGAAGCTTTTCAAAAAGAATTCAAGTTTTAATGATTGTTTGAAAATGTTGCTAATAGGCCAAAAACACAAGGTTGAAAATAAAAAATCTTGTCTGAAATCACTGTTGTAGAACATAATATTTGAACAAAATCCAACTATTACTTTACACCATTGCAGGGTTGTTCATCATCTGGTATAACTAGCCGAATTGGGTTGTACTTCAAATCGACTATAGTACTTGTAATTGCCAGTGAAATTGTTTATTATCAACAGTAATAGTTTAAGATGTTTTGCCAAAAGATAGAAAACATTTCATAATTATTTGAACAATGCAAGAGGTAAAGAATGTGATTATTTGTCTGAAAGCATTTATAGAAAAACTGAAAAACTGGCCTTGACTGAGTTGCATTTAATTTTCAGAGGATATGCATTTTGTTTTAAAAAAATAAAAATCTTGATCACCCATGCCTAAAACTGCAAATCAAACTTAACTTATCAAACTAATTATTTCTTGAAGTAAAGGATTATAGTACTTGGAAACACCACAGTACTGCACAAACGTATGCAACTCTCTAAATTGTAGCTTAGCTTATCTTCCTCACGCTAACATAGCAGCTTAGTAATAATACAGAAGGGAATAAATGTAATTAAAATGTTGTCCTTGCTGCAATGACATGACTGTGGAACCGTGCATGTTTGTTGTTGCAGATTTTCTATTATTATTTCTATTGAGAGAGAAGTTAAGGAAGCTGTGAGCAAGATCCAATATTTCCTGACTAAATTGGGATGTGTTTGTGTGAAAATTTTGATTTATGACAAAGCTGAGAAATTGTGATGTGTTCTAAGGGAAAATAACTGTGTAACTCTTTCCTTGCTTAATGTAAGATTAGAGCTGCAACTGCTATCAATCTGGGAGCGAAAGAGAGGAGCCCGTAATGAAAAGGAAGTTCATAAATCTGATTGTGACAGCAGCATGTGTGTGAGTTATATAGAGATGGTGGCGCAGTCTCATCAAATACATTTTTAGTGGAGAGAGCAGATCTTTCAAACTGCAGTACGAGGATTGGTATTTTAAAAATTATTCAATTAGAAGTGAAAAATAGTTGTCCGTATAATTATATGTGAACTCAAAATGAAATGTAATCAAAAGGGCAAAAGAAACTCCCACATACTATGTATTTAAAGGGAAAAAAAGAAAATCTATCTTATGTTATAGCATGGTTGTAACAAACAAGACATAGACATACTGTATTTACATATGCACTGTATTTTTTAGACTATAAGTCGCGCATTTTTTCATGGTTTGGATGTTTCCTGCAACTTGTACTCCGGTGCGACTTATATATTAAAATTTTCACACACTGACAGCCACGAGAGGGCACTCTAGGCTTGTGTGTCATTATCTATTACTCCTGTACCACTGTCACTTCGCATTCTACTGTGCATGCGTCCTGTAGAAAAAGCCGTTGTTCTGCTGCAAGTAGCGAAATATGCAGCCGAAAATGGTAATCAAGCAGCAGAAAGAAAGTTTGGAGTGAGCGAGAAACTTGTGAGGGACGGCCAGAAAGCGGGAATGGAGAGAACACAGCCTCATGGCAACCGGGTGGGTGCGCCATGCAACTTTCCTGGAAGTCACTGGATGAATCAATGAAGTCTGAACTTCAATGACAACCGAAACCATCCTGTCGGGATTCAGAAAGGCCAGAATAATTCTAACTGAAACTGATGCTAAGTCTGATGACAGCAACACAGAAGAGGAAGCGGCGCTCCATTATGGATCTTCGGTTTATCTCCGGAGGTTGCGCAGAAGTGACAGTGAGGAAGAATTCAATGGATTTAGTGATTTGGAGTGAGATCGTGAGTTTGGTAAACTTATGTTGTTTATGGTATAATTATCTGAATAACTGTGAATATGTTACGTTATTACTATAACTTGCCTTTCAAGATGAAATGTCGGTTCCTGGTCTCTGATTTTATAAAATACATTTCCCCAAAAAGTGCGACTTATAGTCCGGTGCGACTTATATATGTTTTTTTTCTTCTTCACTGGGCATTTTTTGGCTGTTGCGACTTATACTCTGGAGCGACTTATAGTCCGGAAAAAAAGTATATAAAATTTCACAAAATAATGTCATATTCATAAAAGTAGGGGCAACAACATCTCAGTTGGTAGACTGTCCATTGATCTGAAGGCTGACGGTTTAAATCCTGCTCTTGACATAAAAATCATTGGCAGAGTGGTCAGATCCACTGATATACAGGTTGATGGTGCAATTCCAGCAGATTCCACCTTGCCCTCAGTGACTACATACTTTAGTGTGTGAATGTATGTGAATGTGTGAGTGGCTAAATGATCTAAAAGCCTTGAAAGTTGAAAAGCATAATATAAAGATGTGACCAGCATGACTATTTAAAACAGAAATGAGAAAAAGTCAGTCTTTTAAAAGCAGTACATAGAAAGTTTATATACGGTTAGAGATGACTAACAATGAACTCAAGTTTCTTCTTGTTTCTTCCTGTACAGAAATGCAATATTATCTTAAACATAAAAAATATTATTTGCTTTTTCTGATTTATATGCTTCCATATCAAGTCCTTGCCTTGATAAGTTTGACTAGTAACTTCAGGCATGTACATTTTTATACAGTAAAAAATGTATATTAAAGTGTTGTAAAAATATAGACATCACAGTTCTTAACAGCCATCCTGCACACTGCAATAAAAAAGTAAGAATTTGTCAAGTAAATCTTGCCAAGTACAGCCACACAACTCATTAAAACCCCACCTTGTTTGTTGCCTTATCAAAATAGTGGAAATGCTTTGAGACATTTATGCCAGCTGAGCAAAAGACTGGTGAAAGATAAAAAGTGGTGAGTTGGAAAGCTTCACTCAGACTGAGCTCAAACCCAAAGCGACAGCCGTCATGGCCAGCAGCCGCTCTGATGTGAGTCTGATCGGATCTGACCTGGCAACGCCCCAAATCACCATTTATTACTATTCCACAGACTAACCCTGCACTTTTCAGGCCTCCCCAGACACTTACAAAATCCTCCTTTTGGACTTCAGTTTGTTTGCTCCCTGCTCACTGCATTAATAACCCACACTTGAAGGTTATGCTTTTTGATGCGGCATAAACAGGAGAAGAATTACGGCAATTTGCAAAGTACGTGCAGGAGAGCTACAGTAGTGTGTGGGCTGTCAAGGATACTAGCAAAATTATGTTTTAATTATGTTAAGTTTTATTACCATGTGCATTACTGTACAGTTGTACTTTTTTTTTTTTTTTTTACTTGTTTGAATCTAAATTAACTTCAAAAGAAAAGGAGCAACTGTAAGCCTATAGTAGTTAGATATAATTACATTGTTAAAGATATACACTGTTTATTAAACCCCATTACCTGTGTTACGTTTTATAGTAAGACCTTTTCAAAGATACAATTTCTAATTTGTACGTTGATATGATTAGTTTTAGCTTTTTTTTCTAACAGAAGTATTTATTGAATATGTTACACTGAACAATGAATACCAAATGAATCTAATATTATGATTGTTTAATTGTTTAATTAGTAGTTTCAATATGGTATATTTTCCTTGTTTTTGATATATGTCATGTTTGGATTTGCTTTCAAGAATTTTTCTGGTGAAAGGTGCATTATGTAACTTTTGCTGGAATGTTCCACTGTAAGACATTACATAGCTCCAGTTTACACTGATTAAATTACAAGTGGATTTATAGCTTAAAAATTAGTGCTGTCATGCGATTAAAAAAATTGAGAGATTAATTAATTATGATCTGTAATTAATTAATCTAATTAATCTCATTTTAATCTCACCTAAAAATTGCTGAGAAAAGCCTTCAATTTGAGGTATTTTCATTTAAATTCATTATTACATTATTGTGGCAGATCAAAAGACTGATATAGAACAAAAAAAAAGTGACTTTATAAAGTCATTTATTGTTTAACAAATCTCTCCAATTTGGCTGTTGAGCCCAAGTCTCCATGAATAAGAAACTGTTTGCTGTAAAGTAGCAAAGACTAGGAAATCTGAACATAATAACTTTTGTTTACTTAAAGACAATAAAAAGTCCAGTCTTTCCTTAACCATATTAAAAATATTGTTGATAGAGAAATGCTTTATATATGAGATCACTGGTTTTAGTCCTTGTTTTAGTCCTGGTTTAGACCTGGTTTAGACCTGCTTTAGTCCTACTTTAGTCCTAGTTTAGTCCTGGAATGGGTTAATCCTGGTTTTAGTCCTGGTGTTAGTTCTGGTTTAGTCCTGGTTTAGTCCTGGTTTAGACCTGGTTTAGACCTGGTTTTAGTTCTGGTTTTAGTTCTGGTTTAGACCTGGTTTAGTCCTGGACTGGATTAGTCCTGGTTTTAGTCTTGGTGTTAGTTCTGGTTTAGAGGCGCACAGGAGGAAGCGCGGTTTACGCAGCGTACGCGAGAAAACACGATCCACACGCGGCTCACGGGAGCACGTCGGTGTCCGCACAGTGTCTACGAAAGGAAACATGGTCCGCGCGTTCTCAGGTTAATGACGATGATGAAGGTGTGTGTTTGTTTGTGTGTGTTTGTGTGTGTTTGTGTGCGTGTCCCCTCATGTGGCAGGTCACTATAGGACAGTAGTGCAGACATCATGAGCCTATGCACGTTGTTTTCACCAGTGACATTTAAGTTGTAGGCGATATTATATTTGTTATTTTCTTTTATATTTCACATCGGGAGAATAATTTCCAAGACACGAATGCGTTTTTACCTGTGCACTGCTGCCTCTGTTCTACTGGCTGTTCAACCTCGTCCATTGTGCAACTGACGCCGCCAACATAACGTTTACATCGCTCTTACTGCGCGCGTTTTGTGTGGGTTTCCGACAATGAGTGGAATTACCGAAATAAAAAAATGTATAAATGTGTTTTGTGTGTGTGTGTGTGTGTGTGTGTGCTGTTGTCCCAACAACACATAAAAACTGGTTTAATAATAAAGCAACTCGCATACAGAAACAGTAAAGTTAGCGATTAAAAAACATAACGCGCTAAATATGACTGTAATTAATTAATCGCAATTAACGCGATAATTTGACACCCCTATTAAAAATATTTAGAAAACACATTCTGACTGAGAGTGAGATCACCTCTTGACAGATCTGACCAGTAACTTTCTCGGGTTTGGTCTCCATGAAGATAGAAAGGTTTAATGCCATAACACTGAAATATTCCAGACAAAGCAACAACATCATGGAGAATAATATTTAATGGAGCCTTCACCATCAAAATTACAGAATGCAAACAAAGATTATATCAATATGAATAATCTTTTTGTTTTTGTCTGCTGTAATTTTGTATTTATATTATGACTGCAGTATGTTCTTATAATTACACAAAATGAACAAAGTGAACCCAATATGTAAAAAAAAAATTAAAAAATAGTCAGACTTGCTAAAACCCAGATGCCCTGCCGTTACCGTTGCTGTGACAGGTGTCTCCGTCGGCGTCCAGGGTCCAGCCGGGGTAGCAGGAGCACTTGACACTGGTCTTGTACTGCTGGCACACCTGACTGCACTTGAGGTGTCTGCTGCAGTAGTCCACCAGCTCACACGTCCTGTTCGAGGAGTCCAGGTGAAGCCCAGGGGGACAAGAACACACCACGCCTTTCCCAGGGGCCACGGTGCACTGGTGACTGCAGCCTCCCCGAGCTACCAGGCACAGGTCTGAACAGAGAAAGAAAAGGAGCGAAAATTGGTTAGAGAGGGACTTTTGGTGTTCTAAGATATCTAACAAGGTGATACTGTGGATATATATAGTTGGCTCTGGAGTGTTAAAGGCCCTATATTAGCCGAAATTGACTCTAGTGAGATTTAAATCATGTTATAATGTTTTTACCTCATCAAAAACATACCCGGACTTGCGTGTTGTTTCCTTCACACATGTTTGAGTAAAAGAGGTTTATTTGTTTGTCTACATCTCAAAGCTCAAAATGCTCTGTTGTAACTTGTGATGTCACGTAGTAGTGGTGGTTGGTTCAGTAGAGATGAGAAATTCCAGAGTTGAAATTATGATTCCAAATAATTCCAGTGAAGTTGTATAGCATTTAAAAAACAGTGGAGCACTTCTGTTTTCTGTATGAGAGACAAACTCAGCCTAAATATGCAGGATTTGTGGGTTTGTTAACTAAAAATGGCAAATAAATAAAGTTGTTTTCTGTTTTGCTTTTTTTAAAGTGAATTCTACTTTTGCATCCCATCCACTGTTGCCCTCCAGTGTTTTAGTTATATTTACAAATGTCTTTTCAATGATATGTATTATGATGTCGTTGAAACTATTTGTTTGATGCTCTGAATTACATTTCGCTTAGAATAATCTTAAAGAAAACACACACAAGGTTGGCGGTTCGATTCCCGCTCTCGAGATAAACATCATTGGTTGACCCACAGGTTGGCTGGTGTGATTCCAGTTTCCACAGATGAATGCTATCGTTGTGACCTTGGGCAACCTACCTCACTACTTAACTTAACTACTACTTAACCTACCGGTGCCTGTGTACAGTGGTGTATGAATGTGTGTGTGAATGGGTGAGTGGTGCCTTGAAGGTGGAAAAGCATGATAGAAAAATGTGACCATTTACCATGTGAAGGTCACATTTAACATTTCTGCTATTTTAATGCTTTTACCTCAAGAATTTCAGAATTGCTTAGTTTGTCAGTTTGTGGAATTGGCTTTAATCACTGTTTTGAAAACCACATTATTTTTCCTAATTAAAAGAAGCAAGCCAACATTCACAGATTTAAAAAGAACCACTTTACTGTGAACAAAACAACACTTAAGAACTCACAAATTGCTGCATTCAATTATACAAGGTTTGGTCAAAAGTCACATGAATTACAGCAGAACTCAGGGCCAGCCATTGTAAAGTACCGTGATCCTTGTGTTTGCATAAAATGAGAATTAATGACTAAAGAGTAAGAGCCTTCGTGCACAAGGTTGTCAAAGAGTGTACCTGAACAAAACAAATGACTTTTATTTACAGCTAAATGCAATAATTTTAAAGTCTGCTGTGCGTGAGACAGGCATTAAATTGTGATAGCGATTGTGATAAGTTGAGGAAAATGTTTTAGAAAGAGGGTATTTCATTCATAGCTAGGAATAAATGGAAATTGATTACAGCATTGCAGCACATATAGTAGGTATGTTAACATTAGGTATTTTCACCTATAAGGTTAGTGCCAATAAGTATACATGCATCAATATAAAAAGTCAAATGACTCAAGAAACTAAAATATGTTTTCAATACACTTTTTTCTTTTTTTTTCTATAGGCCCAAAGTTATTCTCAAATTTAACCCACATTAATATTACTTTTGGTTTATGCCTTGCATACTGGAAGTGTTCCACATTAATCAGCATAATTTATTCCCAAGATCAAATAGCATATAGGCAAGGTGGGTGCAGTGTCTTGCAAAAGGACTAGGGCTGGGTATCATTCAGAAGTTTCCAATACGATACATATCTTGATACATAGCCCACGATATAGTGTACTTTTGATTCTATAAGATATATTTCAAATTGATTCGATACGGTTCAGTAAAAAATAAAAGCTAAATCATGGCTGTGATAATAAAAGTCTTTATTATCACAGCCATGTTTATTATTCACTTTGCACCACTTCTTGTGCAAAGTGAATATGAAACACAAACATTTTAATAATCGAAACAGTGAATATGTCAAATGTGTCGCATAAACGAGTTTCCTTCCTCTGAACAAGCAACAAAACTGTAGCACTGTAACAAAGTAATTTAGTAAAATACACCAAAAAATACTCTTGGCGATATATTGATACCACAGCCCCCAATACCAACCACTGCACTGCCACACTTACTAAATGTGCAATATGTATCTTTTTTTATTTAGGGTCCTTCACCTGCTATTGAAGTGTTATAGCTTAGCCTGAAATGTTCCAGAGTATATTAAACTTATTTCCATGGTGACATACTAATTACACTACCAGGACAAAGTAGAGGCCTCTGTGGGGAGGCCACTCACAGTGCAGGAATTCAAGTTTTTCATTGTATTTATTAAAGGGCCCATACTACACTCTTTTCTGATCTATGTTATAATGTTTCTTCATCACAAACATACTTGTGTTCTCTTTCATTTACACATGTTTAAAATAAAACCTGCATATTTAGGCGAGTGCTCCACTCTGTTTTAAAACTTCACTAGAATAATTTGCATATTTTCAGTCCTGGTATTGCCAATCTCTGAACAATCTACTGAACAAAAGGTAAGCGGAAGCTGTTAACTTGAAAACTACCGCAACCACTATCACAAAGTGGAACAGAGCACAGAACAGAGCTTTGGAGATGTAGACAATGATAAAGCTCAAATGTGTGAATGAAACAACAGGTGTGTTTTTGAGGAGGTAACATTAATATAATAAAGTTCACAGGAATCAGTTTTGCATAATATAGGACCTTTAACACTAAAACACCACAAAGAATCATCCAATTGGTAAATCACAATTTGACAGACTGCTATACTGTAAATGTGAAAATGTTTTTGGCAATTTTGACCTTGTATCTTCATCTTATATTACAAAATGCCATTAGTGCCTTTGATTATCATCTCATCTCCAAACCGCAATATACTTTAAAAGCATTTATCACCGCACACCTAAATTCTGCCCACTTTTTATCTTGATTAAAACCGATCCCTTCTTCCTCCTTCCTCGCGCGGTTCCTCTCTGAAGCCGCTATCAAAGTTATCCCAGTGAAAATAACACTCGTCTGGCTCTTTCTTATCTTACAGTGTTGCAGGTTTCTCTTTCAAGGTGGTCAGGAAAAGCTCTGCCCTCTCACACCGGGAGGGAAGTGGAGTCTGCGGTTTTTAAAGTAGTGGGTGTGGACCGCTCCGGGACCAATCATTCAGATGGTCTTTCATGTTCACTTCACAGACTGGGACAACTGACTAGACAACATTCTCAAACACACTACAATACATGCAATTTAGGTAATGGCACTGTACTTTAAAAACAAGAGAAACAGAACTAATTCATTTTAAGTTACAGCAGTCCAAACTTATTCTGCATTTGTAGCAGCAAATTCTTCATCGCAATGACTTTAGAAGCACTTTTCACAACTTTCAGAGGCCAGAGAGGTAACGCAAACAGCAACTAACAAGCCAAGTCAAGTTTAAGTTTGCTATATAATTAGATGCAGGCACAACACAGTGTTCACATTTGGCCTTAACAGCTATTTTGACGTTATTTGTATGGGGACGAGACAAATTTTACTTTCATTACATTATTTTTCTTTAAGTAGATCGAGCATGATTAAACACATGGTCTAACTCAGTAATAATATGTGTATTATTTTAGGCTTAGACCATTATCACATTTCAGAGAAGCTCTTGGTGTAGGCATAAAAAAGACAAAAAGTTATGCCAGGCTTTTCATGCTTGTCGTATCCCTTCAATTGTTTTAGATCTTGTTACAAAATATTTTCAGGAGCCTGTGATCAATACGAGTTCACCTGTTGCAGTTCAAATTACCGTATTTGTCAAACTATAAGTCGCACTTTTTTTCATGGTTTGGGTGTTTCCTGCAACTTATACTCCGGTGCGACTTATATATTAAAAATTTCAGACTGACAGCCGCAAGAGGGCGCTCTAGACTTGTGTGCTAGTAGCTAGTACTACTACTACTCCTGTACCACTGTCACGTCGCACTCTACAGCGTATGCCTCCTGTAAAAAAAGCCGCTGTCTTGCTGCAAATAGTAAAATATGCAGACGAAAACGGTAATTGAGCAGGAGAAAGAAAGTTTGGAGTGAGCGAGAAACTTGAGAGGGACTGGAGGAAAACGGGGATGGAGAACACAGCTTCACAGCAACCGGGAAGGTACACCATGCAACTTTCCTGGAAGTCACTGGATCAATCGACAAAGCCTGAACTTCAATGACAATCGAAAACATCCTGATTCAGAAAGGCCAGAATAATTCTAACTGGAAATGATGCTGAGTTTGACGGCAGCTACACAGAAGAGGAAGCGGTGTTCCGTTTACATCATGGATCTATGGTTTATCTCGGAGGTCGCACAGAAGTGACACTGAGGATGAAGAATTCAATGGATTTAGTGATTTGGAGTGAAATCATGAGTTTGTTATGTTGTTTATGCTATAATTATCTGAATAACTGTTCATATGTTACGTTAATATATTAATGCCTATTCAGCCTGTTGTTCTCTATTCTATTGTTATTACTACAACTTGCCTTTCAAGATGAAATGTCGGTTCCTGGTCTCTGATTTTGTAAAATACATTTCCCCAAAAAGTGTGACTTATAGTCCGGTGCAACTTATATGTTTTTTTTCTTCTTCTTTGCGCATTTTTTGGCTGGTGCGACTTCGCGACTTATAGTCCGAAAAATACAGAAATTTAATTTTTTCCTGAGTTTTTTTTGTGTGTGTGTGTGCTGTCTTGAAATAAAGCTCACATTAAAGTCTAACAGAGCTTCAGACAGAGCATGCTTACACTTAGCATCACACCGCCAGGGAATGTTGATGACATGAGTTGCAAAGTGCGTGTAGTAGACGACTAGTAGGTTATAATAAAATGTCACCAAATTTTTCAAAACGTCCCAGATTATCCAAATTTCACCCCACTTCACGCTACTAGATCAAAAGCTTGCATAGCACTTCTCTGCCTGGATAACCCTCGCACACAGGAGTCCTATAGTGTCCCCTGGAGAATGGGTCAGAGGCGCAGGAGAAAATGAACCTCCATGTTTACACTGCCTCACTTTCGGAGATTAGATGTCCGGATATAGTCACATGAGAAGCTTTAGCTGTGCCTCTGTGGGCCACTGGACAAATACACTCATGTTTACCTTAATCACAGACCATTTCTTTATGCTCCCATCTGTCCCCTCTGCCTCTGAGAAAACACAGCACTGGCTCCATGCTGCTGAATGTGAATGAAAGCTTAAAACAAAGACCCCCTGGGGAGAGGTTATATCATCGCCGGGTTTCAAGATAAAAACATGAAAAATCCGCTCAAACTTATACTTGCCCTTCTGCTCTGTAGGGGGAGTTGGAAGTTTGCAGTAATTTGCGTTGCCAACACTAATAAAAGACACATCAGACCGTGTTTTATTATTATATTAAAGCGTATGCATGCCTTTCCTTTTGGTCTTTGCCAGGTTGCCACGGTAACCTATCTCCCGGTGTGCAATGGTATTGATTTGGACTTCCTGAACCATTTCTTCATTAATTTATCCAGACTATGGAGTGGCAAAAACAATATTAAACTGATACAAACAAAAATTTGATCCAGAAGACATAGTTCCCACTGCAAGTAAATTATTAGTTGTAGTATCTTGTTTATTTTATCTTTACTAGTTTATGACATCTAAAGTCATCTAAGCCTGCCAAAGGAATGCAAACCTGTGAAACTTAAAATAAGGAGAAAAACTTGGACTAAAAATAAGAATTCTACTGCTCAAATTAAGAAAAAAAAACCCTGAATAACCTAGAACCTTAACCTACAACTTAGAACTTGAACTTTTTGCAGTTTTATAAAAAATAACTGCTGTACACTTGGGAAATGCCATGTCTGAATAGTGTGTGTATAATATGTATAATTATTATACACACAGCCTATTCACTGCTGTTCAGTATTCATCTGTGCCTTATATGTATGGAGGGAAAACACATTATAATGAAATGTCATGTAATTATTTATCATTGTACGCATGGAATCTGATTGCTCTGTGATGAAGGACAATCACATGTAATTTAAGTAATTAGGCGTCATTAGGGATGGTTAGAACATGCTGTACTGTATACTGTTAATGTCATTTACATCCACTGTGGCGTGACACACTTATGCTGCATTTTGAGCTTCACCCCAAGAGCTCATTACATATTGTTCAATTAACTGTCAGGACATAGTCACAGTTATCAGGGCAATATAATTATTTGTATAATTATATCAAAATCTTTAGGCAAAAACATAGTATTCACTTATTTTGCAAACATTAGACATTTGTTAAGGATTGTTGGCATGCTGTTTGTTGTTTCTGTTCCCCTTACCCCTGGGCCTGAACATTAGATGCATCTACTCTCCCAAATAAGGAGAAGAAAAAGCATTCAAAATTGATAAGAAGTCTGGTTAGTTTAGACGCTTTAGCAGATAGTTTAGTAAACAATATGACTTCATAACTACAAAGGTATAATTTGTGAGGAATTTTTCCACTTAAGGATGCACATACTGCATTGTCACACTTAATGTTGATCATCTAGAATACTCCATTATGCAATGTTTGTAAACGATTAAAGCCAAAACCATACTTGTAATTGAAACGTGATTAATTGCACAGCACAGTCTAGTTTCCAGTTTGAACTTTTGTTTCTTCTTAAAGTAAAGTGAGCCTTGGCTGTCCGTCCCCTTGGAAATCAGCCAAACTCAGACTCAGTCAGAGCTTTGCCGAGGCCCAAACAGTCCATGGATCTCATTATTTTTGACAAGTTTTTCTTTTCCGTTCTACTTTAAAGTGCTTCTTCACCCAAAAATATATCTTTGGAGAATCAAACACTCAACCCCCCGTAGGTTTGAGGTGGCTATAAAAAGTTTGTACTCAGAAGAGCGTCTATGGTCAACTTGAATGTTGTTAGTAGCAATAAATTCCCATGTTGACACGTTTTTGCATGATGCACTATCAAAGAAAATCAAGTCAACTTCTCCAAGTTGTCAAAACCTGTTTTATCCGAGCTTCTTAGACCGGAGCACTACTGACAGAGGGATTATATTTAGATCAATATTAGCAAATAATGTTGTTTGGTACATAAGGCACGACAGATGTTCTGTTGTGACAAGGTTGACATTGTGCAGAAACTTCACAAAATCACAGTGGGAAGAGCTTGTAATTGGCTATACATAGCTCTGGCTTATGACCCCATTAGAAATTTAAACAAACAAGCTGTCGATATCATTTGGCACTCAAAATCATAGTTTATATTAGAACTTTTTGGCTGCCTCGGACCACAAACTTTATTTTAAATTTTTCTTCCAATGACCTTCTTAAAACTTTGGGAAATTATAAGAGCATGTATTTTATCATGTTAATAAGCAGTAATAAAGACTTTAATAATAGGAAAGTTTTAGTAATTGTCAAATTAGCAGCAGAAAATGGTTATGCAGAATAAGACATTAACTGGGGTCAAATAAATACTTTGAAAACATTGAATTAACCACTTAAATTCACGCAAATAAGAATCTTGTTAGAAATTAATGAGTGTACCCTAATAGAGTGTTACAAACACTTTGAAATCTGATATAATTAATAACAGTTACTGTCTATGATCATACTGAATGAAAGACTAAAAATTACACTTCAAATTGATATGACAACAAATAATCTTGACTGAAATGTCATTGTACAATCATAAAAATGACAAACAAGACAAATGAGTTTTTAAATCTTTTTTTTTTTTCTGTCTTCTGTATTTATATATGTGTTGTGTATTTTAACTTTATCTTTGGTTAGTTTGTAATTTGTCACTCCACAGTATTGGCCACCCGTTAAAATCTTTATTACTCCCATTATTATTCACGGACTGATCAACTGTATGCCAATGACAATAACTTTTCAAAACTGAAGAATTACATGTCTAAGTGTATAATCTTACCACATATAGGTCCCTCGTCTGAGCGGTCAGGGCAGTCCACTTTGCCGTTGCAGATCTTGTCCGGGGTGAGGCAGATGGCGGTGTCGTTGGCACAGGGGTATTTGGGTGGTTTGCACACGGCCGACTCACATGACTCCTCATCAGAGCGGTCCTCACAATCTATGTCTCCATCACACACCCAGCTCTTTGTGATGCATTTACCTGTCAACATACACACAGAGAAACAGTAAGAGGCTGGACTTACATTGAATTCATTTTGTCCCAGCACAGATATATATTTTAACAGCAGCTTGTATGTTCAAGTAAAACAGATATCTGCTGTCTGCATCTAATTATTAAGTGTTTATCCTCTGCCAATAAGGAAATGTGCTGTTATCATGCTAGTTGTCTTGCACTTATAAACTCATTCAGATGAATAATTAGTTAGGAAATTGAGGAACAACTGTGAACTTAAAAATCAGGTCCAGAACTTTTGAGTTAAGGTTAAGGCTAATGGATAATTACATTATTTGAGTCTATGGGACACTAAATTGGAATACAATGTAACAAAACACAATATCAAATGAAAAATGCTCTTTCTATTGGGAATATGAACAAATACTGTAGCATTAATAATAAATGTACTTTGTCCAAGTCCCATTGTCCTTTAAACAAGAGGAACTGGTTTTAATTGCAGTTAAGAGTCGCTCAATGATACACCATCCTTACTATAAGAGGCACTTAAGTTGTACAAGCTATCCTAAAACATCTTATCACAAGTACTCCAGAGTTTTTGTTAGATTATTCTATTCAAACAGAAAATCAATACAGTGAAACTAGGCTGAAAGTTATAAAGTTAAGTAAATAACCTATCAAAATAATTATACAAAAAATTACTTTAAAAGAAAATGTATTAGCATAGAGGAGCAGCAATGTTTTTTCTTCATTTTGGGAAGTAAACAAGACAAGGCTTCGGCGATAATGATTTGCTAAAATATAGATCAACAGGAAAAAAGACCAATGAGAAGCAGTGTTAGTCGGGTATAAAGAGTTCAGTTTCATTGGTTTCGCACTGACACAGTTTTGTACAAGCAAATATGTGCAGATTACAATAGTGGATTATTTGGGTATAAATGCATAGGCCTGTATAATTTTTGGCTACTCACTGTAATTGGATTCAAAGCTGACGACAGCAATGGAAGTGTCGTGAAGACTACGCCGCAAAAAAAAAAAGTCTGCCGGATGATTTACAGCAGTGCATTCTTCTCCATACAAGTGAACAAGAGCAGTGACTGAGCGTGTTTGATATGTTCTCATTTGAGTGTGTTTGGTCAATGGGTCTTTCTGGTTTATCTATGTTGTTGTTGTGCATTTGCTGATTTTAGGCCCTGTGTGTGAAAGCACCCTTAATGTAGTAATTATCCTTTTAGTACAAAACTGACAAACTACAGTCAAAACTCAGTCCTAAGAACTCCACATGGGAGTATCCAAAATTAATAATTTTACAGATATTTCATTTCCCATATAAATGACTTTTCTTTTTTGCAAAGTCATTATCAACAACAAACTCTTTGGTAGCTGTGATGATGCTTGTCCACAGATGATCAATATTCACTCAAATCATCTTGTAAGACAAACTGTTGTTTTTCAAAAGATTTAAAAGGTGTTTTACAGTTGTTCAGTGTTTCAATCAAAGGTCATATAGTGCTGGTTGTTTATGTTCATAGTGTCAATATGTTAAATATAAAGGACATTGGATTGCACAGAGCATGGGCCGTGAGTGAAACAAAGCAATGCAAATTATTACACCATGGTCAGTGAGAATTCTAAAGCTGTGTGATGTTTTGGGTTGATTTTGACACAAATTTCAGTTGCACAACAATGTCTATGATGCTTTGGGAGGTTAAAAGTCGTGGTCATGGTTGGCTGCTGTTGTGGCCTACTGCTTACACATTTTTTTTCGTAGTTTTTAAACTTTTAAACTTTTAAATTAGACTTAACATTTAACACAATGGGATATGAGGGCTTTATTGGTTTTAAAACAGTGCATCTATTTTGAAAGTAAAAGTAGTGTTTTGACAAGGGGTTCAAGTTAAAATATGTAACAATATAACACTCACCAATCACACAGAACTGTCACCAAACCTCCAACATACTGCTACATATAAAAACACACAAAAAACACCATTTGGGGGAAATATGCAAAATTACTGACATAATACCCAAGCTAAGACAATATCATGATATTTAACAGACAGATGAGTACAAAATGCTTAAGTGCTAGTTGGCTGACACTAACTGTTCCTCATGTGTGGTTAGACTATATTGTATTTTGGGTTCAGTATTGTCTCAGCCTGTCAGACTCAGGGCTTTAAAACATGTCTGCACACTAGATGTTTTATTTTATTTCTGTCTCGAATCAAAATCCTCACCATTTGTCATTTTCGGGTGCCTCTTCTATATATATTTTCATTCTCACTTTGATTTTATGGTGGAAATTTTGAGTAATTTAGGAAACTTTTCTTGATGTTTGTCTGCAAAACAAATAATCAATGCAAAACTTGAGCTGATTTTGGTTCATAATTTGGTTTTACAACAATATATAGTCCTCTATTAAAGATGTAGGTGTAAATGGGATGTCATAAAGTTGTTGTCAAAAAGACTCAACAGGCATGCTTTATTGTGATGACATTTGCATTAAAGGCACTGGACCTGATTTTACTGCCTTAAAACAATCAGAATTAGTTCATTTTAGTGCAGTGTAGTGGTCCAAAGTTATTAATTTATTCTATGCAGTGTGAGCATTCTAATTATTCATGATGAGTTTATGAGCACTTTTCACAACTTTCAGAAGCCAGAGCTGAGTTTTGCCATCACTGTAAGCTAAAAACCATTAACAAGCTAATGCACACTTCCTGATTACAACTGAGTGCAATAAAATGCATTATAATTATATCCAGGCAGTACACAGTGGAGTTTTGACCTCAAGATCTGATCCATTAGAATGTTACAAAAAACATAATGATAATTTTCTTCTTTCTTTTTCAATGATGACTTGACAGTTGCAAGCATCGCAAGTCATGCAATATGGCAGACATTTTAAAAAGGAAGACATGCTTAGTAGTCAGAAATGTTAGGAGCGCCAAAGGTAACGCAAGGTCAAACCAGTGTGCGGTAAGATATGTGCAAAACACTATGAAATCTTAACAACTTGCTGTTCTGGCTGTTTTTAAATGGCCTTTTAATAGACCTTCCAAAGCATAACTCACTAAACTATGAAAATGCATCAAATAGGCCCTCTTACTGGGGCACGGCACTGGCTTCCTTGTTTCTAAGCATTGATTTTGGACTTCTTTTACCTCATAAAGCTTTAAACAACCTTGCCCCTTTCCACATTTGGGACTATCTTCTCTTTTATGTTGCCGTGGGAGCGCTGAGGTCCTCCTCGAATTTTCTTTTAAAACTTCAATAAAAAAAACACAGTCTGTTCCTTGTTTTTATGAACCCAAAGAACTAAATATGCTTGATATCTGAACGTCTGCTAAAGCTATTTGAATAGAATCACAGGCATAATCTTAGTTACAGGTCAATTATTTTAAAAAAAATAAAAAATCATATGTTTGAGCAAAATTTGTCTTGCCCAAGTGCAGATACATTGTATAAGCAGCTCTTGAAGTCAAAAGATGTCACCTGAATGTTCTCTGCTTCTAATTATGAAGTGTTTTATTGTCCCAGAATCAGGAAGTCCAAGTTAGCATGCTAGTTCTTGTTAGCCTTACCATGACAGCAAAACTCTGCTCTGGTCTGAAGTTGTGAAAAGTGCTTATAAACTCATCACTGTGATTAATTAAGATGCTCTGAATGCAAAAGGTAATTGAGGAATAACATGGACCTCTGCAAATAGTTGTATTTTTTCACATTTTTAAGACCGTACAGTTTTGAGTGGTTACCCCAGGACTAAACGGCTTCCAGTTTGACTATGCTACATCCTTTCCTTTGTAATATTTACACTGATAATTTGTTATTTTTGCTTTATGTACAGTAATAGTTTACAGTTATAGTACTGATTGACAATGTTATAGTAGACATTATTCTGTGTTCATGTTAACATTTTTAAGAGACTGATAAAACTGCTGACATAATTTAATTTTGCACATCATAATCACAAATGGTTGCTTTATTGTATTGGAGATTTGCACTAATAATAGTTTGCATTATAATGTGTTGGACTGTCTTTATCTTCTTTGTCCTTGTGAGAAAAGACAGTACAGCCTTGAGCCAGATTAACAGCTTGACCACTCGTCACTGCAGTTGAGTGCTTCTGCATTTTTCACGTATGTGATTTGCTAATTACAGCAGCGTAACACAAACAAAGACCAAACTAACTCCAAGTCTATTTGTGCAACTGCGGTCTGCTGGGGACACTTAATCTTCTCCAGTTCAGGAAACATCCCAAAACCAGCCAATCGTGTTTGAGAACCAGAACGCCTGAGCCGATTATAAAGTTGCATTAGTCACTTGTTTTTTAAGTAGTCTTTCAAAATGTATTCTGCTTTTAAATGCATTGCAAGGCCACACAGAACGCACAGGGTAAAAGACTGATTAAAAAGTGCATTCTTTTGAAATCTGAAGAACTAAGGTTATTTTTGGTGGTTTTAATGTTGTGTGCAAAGTTGTTTTTCTTTTTTTTTTTTTTTTCTTTTTTTTTTTTTATTTATTATTGTGAATGTGTTTTAAAATACACAGAATTCTATTTTTACTATGCAAGCTATCAAACTATTGAAATGTCATGTAACTGTTAAATCTGATGCGAGTAATCTGATTTCATGTTTGATTGACAAGGGAATGTGTGCAAAAAGGTCAAACAAATGTGACAAAGACAACAATGAAATGTTAAAGACTGAGCTACTTTAAAATTGTCTTCTAAGGGCACTTTCACACCACTGGTTCGTTTAGTTGGTCCGCACCAGGCAATAAAAGTGTTATTATGTAGCATATAGACTCCAGTGTGGTCCGCTTTCACACCTGCAAACAAACCAAAATTGGTCAGATTGACGTATATCCAAGGCTCCTGCACACAGCGGGTTTGACTGCACGTGGCTCAGGGACGCTCTCCCCACGTCAGACCTTTCGGAAGCGAGGCCAACACACACCGTCTCACGCAGTGGCTTTCCCACAGCGCTCACATCCCCCCCAAGCGGAGGCCGGCCTCCGGCAGACAC